TTTGGGGGGACAATGGGCCAGTTCTAATTTCTTACTTTTACGACGGGGCAGTACCAGTAAAGGTTTTTCAGAACCGCTCACAGAGCGATTTTTATATGGATAATTTCAGCTCTTTTTCCGTTCCCTCCCCACCCCAACCCCGAAGGTAAACATGATGACCACGCGCGCGATGTACTGTACGTAGCCATGCGACTGCAATAACACACTGATACATACCAGCCCTCCCCGCCTCGCTACCCCGCACACAGATACACAAACATGTGTATGCACACACACGTGGCCACGCACACATACACACATGCACACGGCACAAACAGGAAATTCTTCATGTATAATGCCATGCAAAGCAGTGGCCACCGTACTTGAGGAAGTCAGTTGTGAAACAAAAATAATTCAACTACAGCGTGTAGACAAGCTGACGGCCAAAGCACAACATAGCAAACATGACATTTGCCCAAGGATTGCAGTTTGCAGACCATGCCATGGAAGCAGCGAATACAGAATGTAATATCATACAAAGTGACAAGCAAGGACGTGGCCATCATACACCAGAAACTTGCAGAAAGTCACATATCCAACAGATAGAGAAGTGAACAGCAATCTGATACAGCCCACACAGGACAAAGCGGACCTGATACTCGTCCCAGGATCGCAAGTGGCAAACCCTTTTCAATGCATAACATGCAGGTGTACGTTAGACGCATGAACATCTGACCGTGTCGCCAGCATACAATGTCATCACATGTTTACCCCACAAGTTACACACATGCACAGTAGAAGCACAATGAAAGCAATGGAAAAGTACGATGTGGTTGCTGAAGCATCTTCACACTTCAAATTCAGACTTCAATGTGGTCGTCACGGGATGATATACCTGCAAGATACAAGTGATGACTCGAAGAAAGAAAGCAGAAGGTCGTGAGGTAGGCTATGAGACACCACAAACGGTTCACCTACATGTCTGTTCAGGGCTAGTGCACTCACACGGAGAATTGTCATAATCGAGCATTTCCCAAACTGAGAAGTGCAATGAAATCCACTTGCATGCACAGGAGCAATTTTGCAATAATTATTATTATGATGCGCAATTCGACACGATCTGCGATGCTGCGTGCGATGTGCCCTGCTGTCATGATAGTGACAGTCACCGCGGTATGTTTTGTCAACGTCGCCCGTGCACTCTTCTGTCAAGTCCAAAGTGCTCACATACTTGGCAATGTTTTTGCAGTGATTAACTTTTATCCTAGTTATGTCACGGGTAACTTTAATGAAGTACCCGCAGGCCGTGTCGATCTGCACATCTTCCACTCTCTCATGTACTTGGCCTGCTTTGTCTGTGTATCCATTTCATGTGCGATCCACATAATCGACTAGACAGTGGGTGCAATACGCTCTCTACCTGAAGACGTTCTTCTGGCGACATCTCGCCATGTACTTGGCCTGGCTTTGTCTGTGTATCCATTTCATGTTCGATCAACAAAATCTCAAAGCACTACAGAGACTAGACAGTGGGTGCAATACGCTCTCTATCTGAAGACGTGAACCATTACATTTTTTGGAAAAGTTATACGTACACCTGAAACGTAATGAAGTACAGGAATAGAGAGAGTGACTACAATACGCTCTCGACCTGATATAGTGATAACGTGAGTACAAGACACTCTCCACCTGATAACGTGTTAGAAGGTAACATGTCTACAGTCCCACCGTACCCTTCCGACACGACTGTGGACCATTAAATTTTTTTGAGAAGTTATACGTACACCTTAAACGTAATGAAGTACAGGAATAGAGAGAGTGACTACAATACGCTCTCGACCTGATAACGTGAGTACAAGACACTCTCCAACTGATAACGTGTTTAATAATAGTAGAAGGTAACAGGTCTACAGTCCCACCGTACCCTTCATCATTCCTCATTCACCATCGCGCGATACCCTGGCACACACTGGCAACATATCAATGGGGTGCCTTACCGTCGTCTAGAGGAGACGTCTTCGCAGCAATATTTTCCCTCCTGCGCATTCAGTCGCCGACGCGACAGCGTTCACGGGGCCGTTCCAGTTGCGGAAGACATTCGATTCATCGGGCCAATTCAGAAACAGGGCCGTGGACACACAGGGGGCAGAGGAGAGACATTGTTAGTGGACAAGAAATATGCAGTGGCAAGTGGCGAGTGCCGCATGGGTGTCAAGTTGTCATGCACAATTCAGCTATTACTTACGGTCCAGCTAGTCCTGCCATTGCTCGCTCGTCCTGGTTCCTCCTCGTTCGTCTTCCTGCACGTCTGCACTTCTCCTTCCCCACCGTTGGCTTTGCGGTACGGGGGTGCCGGAAGGAATTCCCACCATGTATCCATGTACATGAAGTCCCACCATGACTCTCCATGTACATGTCCACGGCCACGTCAGCAGTTTGTATAGTACCGGAAGGAGTTCCCACGATGTCTCCAAAGGCCTAGAGCGAGGAAGGAATTCCCACCATGTATCCATGTACATGAAGTCCCACCATGACTCTCCATGTACATGTCCACGGCCACGTCAGCAGTTTGTATAGTACCGGAAGGAGTTCCCACGATGTCTCCAAAGGCCTAGAGCGGACGTCTTTGCAGCAATTCTTTTCGCCCTGCGCATTCAGTTCGCCGACGATGTCTCCAAAGGCAAAGGCCTAGAGCCTAGTAGAGGGGACGTCTTTGCAGCAATTCTTTTCACCCTATGGCCTAGTACCCTGCACATTCACTCCGATCCGCCGACACGACAGCGTTTACGGGGCCGTTCCAGGTGCAAAAGGTCCACGTCAGCAGTTCTCAACTATTTCGCGTACGGGATAGTCGCCGCGACAGCGTTTAAGGGGTCGTTCCAGGTGCAAAAGGTATCCATCAATGGCACTTTGCAGTATGGGGTACGGAAAAGGGGCCTCCTCGTTCGACTTCGTCGACTTCTGCAGTTCTCCTTCCCGTCAGGGGTACCGAAAGGGGCCTCCTCGCAGTTGTCCTTGCCGTCAGGTCCACGTCATGCAGTTCTCAACTATTTCGCGTACGGGATAGTCGTCTTTGTCGTACGCGACATCGGCGTTTACCGAGTGGCATTGGCACCAAGCAGACCGTTGACGGGGTCACGTGTCAAAAAAGTATCAACAACGTGTCGACTACGTGTCGACCAAGTGTATAGCGGTACACTCAGCGGTACACTAATTCTCGTGCCATTCTCGTGTCACAAAACTGGAACATCGAGTACCAGTATGGAAAGGCTTCAGACAGGAAGCCTTTCCAATAAGTTACGTAATACTGAACATGATTGTACTGTGGCTCAGTTGGGAAACTCTGCTTGCTGCATGGTCCCAGTGGCTGGTCGTGGGGGCAGATTTATAACTCCATTGCAGACCTACACTGTGCAGTTTAACATGTTTTTTGATTTTGACAGCATGTTACAAGTGTATATACTGTGCAGTTTGTAGCTCAGATTTTACAAAGATGTCTTGGTAAAGGTACTGATCATAGTTGTAGTCAGGAGCACTGTTTTCAACACAGTGCACCTTCCACCCTGTAACATGCTGTCAACCGATCGAAGATGCATGTGGACAGCTCATTGACGTTCGCAGGTTCGAGTCTGCAGCACACATGATGCTATTGCATTGGTGAAAGAATAATTATGGGTGATGCACTCCTACTACATTGGAGAGGATGAATGTCACAGTCAGTAGCCACTGGCTACACTGGCTGTACTGTAATGCCATGTGCATGTACATTGCAGTACAGCCAGTGACCGCAGAACCTATTTTCCAATCCCGACAGTACCACACAGGCAAACATTGACTAAATTCAATCATCGTAACCCCCCTTCAATGCGGTGAACCCCTTGATAGGCGACCAGCCTCTGGGTCATCCTAATAAAATCAATATTTTTATTAGGACTGACCCGAGGCTTGTCACGATCGATCACTATTGGCGTACACAGTATCCAGCATTCGTCCATAATGTCGACACTGTAAGTGTCACAGTCTTTATCAAGCTCTGACCACAGTGACCAGCCGGCCACCCTTTGCTGTCCCTCCAGGAATCCGCGATTCCGCGGCCGCGGTAAAATCCGCGATTCCGCGGCCGCGGTAAAATCCGCGATTCCGCGGCCGCGGTAAAATCCGCGGAATTCATGTTTTTTTTTTAAATATCCTGCGGAATTAACAGTTTTCACCGCAGAATCGTGAAAAATCACGGTTTGGGGGCCATGCGAGCACGCGCAATGTCCTGTCGCTATTTTGTTGCATTAAAAGTCGAGGGAGTCTATCGTGTGTTTTCGACCACTAAATTTTTTATTGATACTTGAACATAGCATATAGCCATGTCTTTTCGCCGGTGCAGCGCCGCAGAAATACCGCAGTATTGCCGCAGAATTCACGCTATCCGCCGCATAATGTAGCGATTTGTGCCGCAGAATTCTGCGCAGAGCTTCAACTTTCTGTCCGCGGATTCCTGGAGGGACAGCCTTTGTAATTCCAAAATGGAGCATTACGGAGGATTAGCAAGACGAAATTCGCGTTCGTGAACATTTTTCGGTTCGCGAACTGGATTGCGAACTTTCGCATTTTTCGTTCGGAATAGTAGTCGAAACACGAATCGCGGATTCGTGTTAGGACAGTCATACATTTACTACGCTGTACTATCTGTACACAATGTACATGTACGACGTGTCAACGTTATGCATGTGCGAATTCTGTTTGGTAACCCTTCTCATAACGAGAAATCCGTCGCTGAGTTCGACTTTCCTTGGAGTGCGAACACGAACGCGAATTTCGTCTTGCTAATCCTCCGTATTGATGCATCATGGCTGATGATAGTCCAGTGCTGGGGACTCTGAGTACTGATCAGGCATCTGTCTTACACATACACACACACACACACACACACACACACACACACACACACACACACACACACACACACACACACACACATCACCACCCCACATGCACCATGGCAATGTTCAATAATACTAAATCCAGGATTGCAGAGGTCAAGGTAGTTCACACTTCACGAACGCCTTGCTATAAAAAGAGCGCAAGCTAGGAAAAGCATGTATAGAATGCTTCAATTGTAAGCATCTTGAAGACAAGAGCCCGACCAAGTAGGCAATGGTAGTGCCACAGCAACATACTGTGACAAATAAGTGGGGGGGGGGGGGGGGGGTACAGGTACCAGCAAATATGACACAGTCACAGACTACATATACAAGGAAGCACAACTATCCAATGGTAGAGACTCGCGCAGAGCAACAGCAATAGCAACATAATGGAACACGGTCCACCGGGACAACAGTGAAAAACAAAGGAAAACAAAATAATGATAAAATGTGAATATCCTTTGTTCAAAAAAAGGAACGACGATTGATCTAGAAATCAGTTGCAGCTGCAGCGGTCAGTAAAACAAGCAAAAACTAACAAAAAAAACATACATGTATATGTGATGTACCAAACAGCACAGTTGAACCGAATGTACAAGCAAACAGCACAGCTGTACCTGATGTACAACATAATATCATAAGCATGAGTCTGTACATGCTCTGAAAGGAGTCTACAGAGAGAGAGAGGGGCCGGGGGAACACTTGCACTAACCGTCCATACGCAGAAATATAAAATGCGTGTGTGCATTTCGTGTAAACATAGGGAATCGATGAAGGCAGGCAAAGCGGTTGTTTAAAAAGCACGCACCAATCAAACTTGGTAAATAGATAGCCAAAGAAGCATTGGCTAAGTCCTAGGATAGGAATAGTGGCTGAAAATGAGAACATACCATCCATGAACAGAGGAAACTAACAGTGCCGGTGGGATAACAGCACCTGATTATGAAAAGGTTAGCTAAATAAACAGATCAGATAAAAATAGGTACGAACAATACTTGGTTCACAAAAGTAACACGCCGACTCCTACATAAAAGACAGATACAAGAGCAGATACAATAGCCGTAAAACTCTGGCATCGCAACTTGTGTCGCCAGAGTACCAAATAGCACGATAGTCAGAGGACTCCGATAGAGACAGCCATGGAGAAGGGCTGCTGTTACTGCCGCTGCTGGTGCCTCTGCTAACAGAGTCATTAGCCCAGCCCTAGAAGATCGCGCTCAGGGAGGTCTGGTTGATCCATGGGCGGTGGTTCACTAGAAGCAGCCATGGCAGCACCACCGGATGCAGGACCAGCAGTCAAGTAGCCCGCTACAGCTGTTGGTCCTTGGAGATAACCGGCAATGCTGGTGTTGGTGATGAACAGGTCGTGACGCTGGTCACGGAACGTGCTCCACACGCTAGACTTCTCCAGGATAGCGTTGACCTCATCACCACGAGCCAAGTCTTTCAGCATGGCCTTGAGTGCCCGTACTACCTGCGCCTTAGCCGCACTGGCATTCTCTAGATCCTGCAACGGACTGTCCAGCACATCCAGTAGGTGCTGAACGAGATTGGCACGCAATGCCTGGTCTACCAGCTCCGGGATCTGCCGCTCATACATCAATGCCAGACCTTCAGCGGCAAAGCTAACACAGTCCGGCCGGGCTTTCATTGCGTTCACGATCGGTTCAATGGAGTTTGTAGCTGCAATGGCACGTACACAGGAGTCATTGTCCGAAATTGAGCGCACAACCATCAGACAGGCCTTGGGAATAGCGTTGTTCTTGGAGCTCATTGAACCAAACAACTTGGGGATGTGCCCCTGGACTGGCACCTAGATAAACAGAGAATGTAAGAAAGAGAGAGAGAGAGAGAGAGAGAGAGAGAGAGAAAGAGAGAGAGAGAGGGGAGAGAGAGAGAGGGAGAGAGAGGGGGGGGAGAGAGAGAGGGGGGAGAGAGAGAGAGAGAGAGAGAGAGAGAGAGAGAGAGAGAGGGAGAGAGAGAGGGAGAGAGAGAGAGGGGAGAAAGAGAGAAAGAGTGAGAAAGAGTGAGAGAAAGAAAGAGGGAGAGAGAGAGAGAGATAAATAGATAGATAGACAGAGTGCGAGGAGAGAGAGAGAGAGAAAATAAGTTAGATGTAGCAAAACAGGCACCTACACGTCAACAAACAAAGTTCTGATTCCTACGAAAGAGGATGAAAATATTGATCTCTCTTGGTTGAGACACATCGTAACCAACTAGTATTAATTCCATACTCCCTTCAACCGGTCAGAGCTAGATCAAAAGACTACATACAGTGTATACAACTACACCGCACCAAACTCACACTCTTCCCCTAATTCTCACCCTCACCTAGTACCTGGTCAATTTGTTGTACACCTCCCCCCCCTCCCTCGCGAGTTTTTCCCTTGTTTTTGTTCCTTCTCCTTTACCTGCATACATTTAGTGATGATTCTCACTATTTGTGTTCGGAAATTGTTCACTTTCTCTGTATATATTCTGTTCTGCTTCCTCGATTTCTGATTGTGATGCACTCCAACTGGTGAATATCACAAGCAAACGTTCTTGGAAACACAAGACCATCCTCGCTTACATGTGTGCGAAAAGTCATGAGTGCGCAGTTGATACTGTTCACAGCTTTATTCAAATATTGCCTCCACGCTGAATATTTAAATACAAAAATCCATGCTGCCCGACTGCCAGGGCATACCAGGGTACGGTATATGTGAATGTTGCATTATAATCTTACCTGATCCATGAGCTGAGACTGAGCAGTGAATAGCGCACACACGGCCTGTGCTACAGTCTCCAGTTCATCACCATTGGGTGCGTTCTTGCTGATCAGCAACAAGAAATGACCCATAATGGACAAGAAGAATTCCTTTGGTCGACGCAGCACCCAGTTGGGCTGGGCAATGAAGAGCTTGAGAATAACTCCACCAATGACCAACTGTCCCTCAATCTCCGTGTACACAACGGCAAAGTCAAGTGGCAGCTGCCACTTTGCTGTGGGGTCGTCCTTCTGGATTGTGTAGAACTCAGTACGGAGACGCTTCACTACACCGCTCACCTGAAAATACAACAACACATGCCAATACATCAGCACATGCACACAGAAGTACACGGCCACACACACACACAATCCATTCCAAAGCTGTGTAAGTATACCTGGAACAAGCACACCACTTGGTAATTAGTTTGCGTGCGTGCGCGCGCACGTGTGTAAGAGATAGGTACAGAGAGAGAGAGAGAGAGAGAGAGAGAGAGAGAGAGAGAGAGAGAGAGAGAGAGAGAGAGAGAGAGAGAGAGAGACGGACAGCGTGCCACCACTAGAAAGAGAGTCTGGGATGGAACTTGGAAGGACTTGTAGAGACCAGATACCACCCATAGTACACTGCAACTAAAGCTCCAATAATAAAACTATGCAAGGAGAAAAAAGCGAATAAGACAAAGACAATGGCACTCACTCGTTCACGGGTGTCATCATTCCACACAAGCTCAGGATTCTCATGATTGCCTTCAAACATGGTCACAGATGCCTCAGGGTTGTCTGTCATTGCATCAATGAAGATCTGCGGCAAGAACTTGGACAGGGCAATGCGAACCTGTACAAACATAACAAGGACACGCAAAGAGCATAAACAAATGAGGCATGGCTCAATAAAAAAGGAGAAAAAAAGAGAACACAAGAGAAAATGGGAGAAAGAGAGAAGGAAAGAGGGGCAGGGCAGAGAGAAGAGTTGGTATGATAACATCGTTTTTACAGAAAGGCGAGAAGAGAGGAAAGCAAGACAAACTCCCAAACAATCTTGCTTCACAGTACCAACAAACTGTATTATACATAGGTGCACCAGGCGAGTAGCGCAGGATCGCAAAATTTGCAACAAAGCAGCTAGACTTTGCCATACCATGTCCGCAAAACGCCCAAACAGGATAAAAGGTATCGCAAAAAGTGCCCGCGTTCAACGTTCATTCAATGCGTGCGTTGATGCGCGGACTGGAATTGTACACATGCCGGGTACTAGTAGGCCCTTCATACATGATTGCACATGGTATTGTGTAAGTCTTGAACATGATTGTACATGCAGCCATTGTTGGTAGCTCCACTTGGTACCTTTGCAAGCCGGAAAACAGCAGCGGGAGCGGGGGAGCTGAGGAAATAATTAGAGTCCCGTCGTGAGCACAAGAGTGCATCAGTGCATTGTATGCAAATGTGCATGTGGCGCAGCGCAGTGTGAAGCAGGGAGTAGTAAATACCGGTGTTTTACTGCTCCCTGCCCTGGTGTGAAGTGCCTATACTGTGCGGTTTTTGTTCCAACATGCCGCTCCCTGCCATTTGAGGAAAAGAAGCATGTTTGTTTGTAAGTCTAGATGTCGGAGCCTCCTGCAAAACGTTTGCAAGAAGCAGCCGATGGTACACGATTTACAAGATCAAAGGAGAATCATGTACATGTATAGTCTGCTGAATCAGACTCGTTGAATTCTCGTGAGAAGCGCCATGGGCTTGATGAGTGCAGTTGACCGCAAACATTCCAAATAAAAGGAGCTGGCTGAGCCAGTATCCTTGGCTGCAAAAATGAAAATAGGGTGAATTTTGTATGTTATGTCGCGTCACATGACCTTACGAAGCAGACTGAAAAGGGCTACGCTACGCCGCTGTGTACATTGGTTGCACTGCCTATACCAGATGATAAATGTTACAGACAAAGACATGTGAAGCAGCAACAACAAGCAAGCCAGGCGTACCAGTTACCCCCATCCATATGATCTGTGACACCAATGAGGTCACAACCAGTACTAGCATGTGGAAAGGGATATACACTATACAGACTGTCCACATGTTTGCTTGGCCAAGCCAGCTGCCTATAGCAGTTCTGAATATACCAGGCCAGTACAGCAACAAAAGCAGCAGCAACCAGCAGCACATATTAATGTTGTGTTTGCAACTAACCTTGGGTCCAATCAGCTTATCACTCATCATTTTCGAGAAGAGACTAGCAGCTTGCTCACGCACCAGTGGGTTTTGTGAATTGCAGAACAAGTCCAGCATATAGATGAGAGCGCCTTTCTGCATAGCTTCCTTCACAATGCCGGTATTGGCCATGAGAGCATGCAAAGTCTCCAAGGCAGTCAGACGACATGCAGGCAGAGTGAATGTCACCATCAGCAAATACGACAAGACCTGAGCTTCGGCAATGCTTGCCACGCACTTGCGATTCGCTACAAGACACACACACACACACACACACACACACACACAAACACGCATGCACAAAAAAAGATAATGGATAAAGGATTTACGATCTGCCAGGTATGCTCGGCTAAGGCCCCCAGTTTCTTTAGCTGGAATGGCAGCTAGTGCAGGCTAGTGCATTACGCCAGCTGTTGTCCTCAGCTTCTGCTACCCAGAGACGGGCCAACTCTCCAAGAATCCTAGGAATCAGAATTACCAGTGTTGCTGGTGTGTGGGAACCTTGCCGTCCACCTACAGCCCATGGCTATTGTTATTCACCCTATGCTCCCCCCCCCCCCCCACACACACATGATTGTAACTAGTGAGAAACTTCTCTCTCTCTCTGTTGTATTACATCATATCATTTTTTTGTTGCTTCTGGATTACCGTGTACATGTATGTGTGATTTTCACGCAGCCACGGAAAACAATGTCAATCTGTGAAAAAATGAAGACAGTTAGGGGTGCGCACGTGTGCTTGAAAAGGCACTTACAAACGCATGGTCAGACAGGATCTTACCGGTAGTGGCATTGATAACTTCCACAGCAAGCTGTTGCATCGCAGATGCACCAGACATGCGCAGGAGAGCGAAGAGGAGACGGAAGTGTCCAATGCACTGTTCTTCACTGCCCGAGTGATTGCGCAACACGTTGCGCAGTCCTTCTAGAGCCATGGTGCAGTTCTTGAGGCGATCAGCTTGCTGGCCGGACGTACTCGTGTCCACGTCACCAGCTGTCAACGCCATCAGTGAGTGTAGGTATTCAGCCTAGGAACAGTGACAGCACATCACAGCATCAGTGTGAGCCCAGTGCTACAGTGGTCGCTGTGCACTATCAGAATAGTGCACTGCAGATATCCACAACACATCAGCACATTACTATGCGTGATACGACTGAGGGGAGCAACGTTTATGAATGGTTTCCCGGATGCTGAGTGCCAAATCCTAACAACCATCAGTAGACACATCACATGCAGTGGAAAGTGGAAAGCATGCACACAAAGACAGTCACTCACAAAGACAGTCACTCACAAGCCATGCCAAGCACACTCCACGAATACACACATGCACACAGGATGTACAGAAGGCATACCTGGGCTCCCAAGAAGCTGAGCAGATCAATAGTGAACTTTCTGGCATCTTGCAGAGGGAACGTCGGTTGGAGATTGTAGATACGGACAAAAATACCGCCGATGATCAACTCATCTTTGTGTGCCTCAAAGACGAACGCAGCTCCCAACTCTGGATCACATTCACCAGTGCGCACCTTGGCTTCCTGCTGTGCTTCGAGGAACTCTCCCAGCTCAGCACGTGTTGCATTGTCCCAGATAAGATATGGGTTCTCCGTGTTGCTGTTGAGAAGCTTGAGCACTTGTCGAGGTGGTTGCAATGATAGCTGCTCAGCTAGGTACGGTGTCAGCATGGCATTCAGGGCTTTCTTGATAGCAGGATTATCCGGGGTTTCATCATCACCCTTGAAGTAGCCACCAAGACGACCCAAGCATACTATACTCAGCCTGTTAGTAGCAAACACACATGCAGGTTGACATAGTGTTAGATGCAAATACATACATATATACATGTAACTGCCTCATTTCCTCTGTGCTGTGCTGTGCTGCGCTGATGAGCCCACTAAGGACGAAACAGTTCTGTCCGCAGATTGAGTACATGTACTGCATGTAATTTTTAAATCACATCGATCAGTGATATCATCAAATCTCTCTCTCTCTCTCTCTCTCTCTCTCTCTCTCTCTCTCTCTCTCTCTCTCTCTCTCTCTCTCTCTCTCACACACACACACACACACCGCCCCCATCATCACACAACTTTAGACACCCATTGTCAGAGGCAACAACAACGGTGCTACAGCGTCATAGCAACTCGTACTGGGATTGCATCTTCCACCATACCCACACGTTCACGCACACCCACACACACCACTGCACCAGACCACAAAGAAAATTCATTTCTTACAACTCAGATGTAACAGGAGACTGCTTAATTCACAGTACTACTGGTACTACTTGAGTACTGGTAAGCATGAACCATGGCACAGCATACACTGCCACCATGAGCAACAGCATACACTGCCACCATGAGACACAGCATACACTGCCACCATGAGACACAGCATACACTGCCACCATGAACCACAGCATACACTGCCACCATGAGACACAGCACACACTGTGGCACCATGAACCACAGCACACACTGCGGCACCATGAACCACAGCACACACTGCGGCACCAAGAACCACAGCACACACTGCGGCACCATGAGCCACAGCACACACTGCGGCACCATGAACCACAGCACACACTGCGGCACCATGAACCACAGCACACACTGCGGCACCATGAACCACAGCACACACTGTGGCACCATGAACCACAGCACACACTGCGGCACCATCAACCACCGCACACACTGTGGCACCATCAACCACAGCACACACTGCCACCATGAGCCACAGGACACACTGCCGCCATGAGCCACAGCACACACTGCTGCAACGTAGACAGTAGCCAAGGGGTAGCACATGACTAACCTTGCCAGGTCATTGGAGACTTCTTGCTTGTTAGTGTCCTGGTCGGTTTGCACGCCACTCTCATCCAGTGTGTAATCGTACTGGAACAGGAACAACAGTACATGCCACAGAACACCAGCCTGCAACAGCTGTGTCTGCAGCCAGAAGTCAATGCAGAAACCGGACAGCGTCTGCACCACCACGGAGTTCAGCTTGGGCAGGTTGCGGTAGTAGAGGATGCGGCACAGGTCGGAAACCAGCATTGGAATCTCGGTGAACTTCTCACGACAGTTTTCAAACTGAGAGGCAACGCGGAAGCAGCGTGCCACGTGTGTGCAAATCTCTACAGCACGGTCACTCTGCACCGATGACTGGCTGAGAACAGCAACACAGCGCGACAATGCATCCTGTGTACACAGCACATAGACAAACACACAAACGCATATGATGAATTTGCCATCGGGGGTAAATAAAACTAAATATGCAATGCAACACAGAACACTTAGAGGCATAATTCAGGTCAGTGACACTATTGCAAAACTTGTGTACAGTACATGTACTGTTGTGGACATGGAAATCCGGTCGCACGTCTAGCAGCCCCAGGGTGCTGGCCATGCAGCCCTGGATAAGCGGTACACACATGCATTTTATGCGCTGCAGCGCGCTAGTCGCATCGGATCAACATGTGCCCTGCATGCAGCGTTCTGTACGCGCTAAGGGCGCCGGCCCCGGTCAATCGACCGGATTTCCATGTCCACGACAGTAGTTCTATGATATTATCACAGAACTACTGTACACAAGTTTGCAATCATGAATGGAACGAGGCTATACGTTTGCTGCTATTTAGAGTTTCATGACAATTGGGTTAATCTTCAGAAAAGAATGATGATGCTAGTGGCTTGTGCCTAGGGGTATAGGGTTGGAGAAGAGAGCCAAGAAACAACAGGTGGGGCAATTTAGCGCAGCAGGTGAAGGTGAAGGCATCGTGCCTGGATGTGCGGGATGATGATGCATTGCAGGAAGAGAAGTTTTGCTTTCACCTGCTGTGCTAAATTGCGAAAACAACAGAGAAAACATGCATGTGGGCTTCTGTGTGCGCGCCCGCGTGTGTGTGTGTGTGTGTACCACGTGACCTACATGGCAGTGTATACCAGGACCAGGACCAGGTGTATGTGTGCGCGCATACCTGAAGAGATTCCATGCCATTCTCTCTACGCAGTTCTTCAGCATTGAGAGCAGAACAGTTAACCGTATGGAAGCAGAGCTCAGCAGCAGCAGTGAGGAGTGGCGCCGACTTGCTAAACAGGGAGTCATCCTTGGTCTCCAGCTCAATAGTCTTGACCAGCATAGGGTATCCAGAATACTTGTACGGGGCAAGATCCTCGCGGAAACGTTTGAACACAATGCTCTGCGCCTGCAGAATGAGTACGATCCTTTCGGGATCTGGGCCATCAGCCTTGGAGCGCTTAGAGCAGAGGAATTCATAAGCCTAGCACGGGAAGGAGCACATAACAAGAAGCATGGTGATGTGACTGATGCCATTGTCAAGGGGATTAGCAATGGGCACGTTCAATTACACACAATTCTCTCCGTTCTAGACTTTCCAATGCTACATGTAACACACACTGTTCAATTACACAGATTTCGTCCTCAGAATCCACAGAGACCAATTCCATCCATTCCGAAGTGAAGGCGGAATTTCTCACCAGAATTAACCCATCTGGTGTACGCTTCCTTGACACCCCGCATGTCTGCTGCATATATACTACTGATTTGTACAAAGAGTTGCATAGGTGATCTCTTTCCACATTCTATTGGATCGTGAGTCGTGTGACAAATTCCACTTGTTTCTCTATTTAGACGTAACCCGCTCGCTCATTCGAGAATTTTGAAACCGGGGTCCGCTGTTCCTGCCTCAGCGAGTCAATAACAAAGCCAATGAATATGAGAGTATGCTCACAAATCCCACACAAAGTACAAAGTGGGATTAATGGTGAAGCCATAGTGGCAGAGATGCTGGGTGGGCAACAGTCAGGAGATTCATACCGAGTGCACTGCAAAGCGTTGCATTTTTCCTTACCTTGTTGACAGCTTCAAAGATCTCACGACCATCAGGATTCTTGTCAGGATGGTACTTCTGTGCCATCTTGAAATAGGCCTTGCGAATCTTGGACTCTTCGTGTGCTTGACCAGTGGCCAGACCAAGTGTCTCATGAGCTTCCGTGCTGGACATGCTAGAAGGCTGCTTTTCAACCTGTGGAAAAGTACACATGTAGACACCAGCAGAACAACAGACACAGTCACATACACAAAGTTACACACACACACACACACAGATACACACACAGACACATACACACAGATACACAGACACACACAGATACAGTCACATACACACAGAGATACACAGACACACACAGACACAGACACACAGACACAGACACAAACACACACACAAACAGCGACGAACACGCACAGGCGCACACTTTAAGCTTACCAAAGTGATCATGCCCGGTGATGAGCAACAGACTACAAGACACGTCTTAGAGCAATGTGTCCAAAACAGTCCAGAAAATGAAGAAAACAGCAATGTCAACATGAATAGTGACAGTAAGCCAGCAAAAAGGACTTACCTCTGTCTTCCAAGCTTCCAAGATGTCTTTAAGCAGTGCAATATGATCACTGATCGGCCAGTCTGGGAAACGAGTGCTATCACATAGATGACGCAGGTAGAATATGCTGCAGAAGAGCTCATCCTCCAACTGTGGATAGCTGACGATTGGCATTGGACAATAGTTGTAGAGAGCACGTACATTGCTTGTCAAACGAGGACTGAAGTCAGCCAGATGTGCGGCAATCTTCTCGATCATCAGACGCCGCATCTCGTTGTTCCAGATTGCCTCCGGGGTGTCAAAGTCGCCCAGGAAGATCTCCGCAAACTTCTCCGGGCCATGGTTCTCCAGGAAGTGCACCATGGCTTCAGGCAACATCTGTCCGATGATAGAGCGCTGCATCATGTCCGAGGCCTGTGCAAACTGCTCATCAGACTTGAACGCCTGCTTGAGATGTGTAGACTGCAGCAGCTTACCGATGGGCATGACATTCGAACCAGTGTACATCATGATGAAGAAGAACACACCGCTCTGGAACAAGCGCGGCAGCTGTGGATTGTCCTCCATGATCTCCATGAGTAGTATGGCTACCTTCTCCACCAACGATGGTTCAAACGTCAACAGGAGCTGACAGATGTGTGGCAATGTGTTTGCTTCTGACAGTAGTCGCTTGCACCGTGGCAAAGGTCGAATAATGGCACCGTCAGCGTCACGGCTCGGGTAGTAGCTGCACATGCGTGACAACATCTGTAGGACAAGCGTTGCCAGCTCAGACTCGTTGAGCAGCGCAATGCCAGACGCCATTAGTGTCCACTTCAGCTGACCAACCTACACCGATGGGATACACATACATGTACACACATACACACAAACACACATACACACAAACACACATACACACAAACACATGTGCGCACACACATACATCCGCAGTTTATCCCCTGGTATAGGGTTTGAAAGTGATGTCAGACAAAATCCAACGACAAATCCGACTTCTGGATCCACTCTGCCCATAGAGAGGTACATGATGTGGTGGGTAGGTCTTCGTGTATGCAGGGTAAATGCTTTCTGTACCAGGAGTGGGTTCCTGACCGGGAGGACATAGTCCAGTCACTCCTGGTGGTGGATGTGTCACCCATGTGAAGGAAAACCACCCAAAAGCGTCAGCAAGCCCAAATTTCGAAGTGGACCTATTTTCATGAGCATTGAAGAACAGAGACACCCTAACAGGAATCACATAAAATAAAAATTAATAATATAAATAATAATAATAACATGACCGACACTCACACACCGTGACACATGCGCTCACACACAGACCAAAGAGAGTGCCGTACCTGATCCAAGGTCTTCCAGCCTTCCATTCCTTGTGCCCAGCAACGCGTACGCTGACTAAGAACGCCCTCTTCCCACAGCTCACGTATCTCACGGAAGCTGAACGGTCCGAGCCGCTCCTTCTCCTTGTTGCCATAATACCACTCTTTCTCAGAGTCGCGATGCATATCACTGCCAGCCTCAATCACATTACTCTGCAATGGCACGGTGGCACGGTTAATATGCAGGTGAGCCAGGGACATCAGCTCAACCAGCTGACGTAGCAGATTGGTGTCCAGCATTTGCTTGACATTGCGCTTGTTGAGCAGCAGCTTGTCAATGAAGAGCAGCACACGGTCACGCTCTAACCGATCCGTGGAGCGATCCAGCAGAGCAACCATGAACTTGGCGTCGTTGAAGTGACCAATGTCTTCGTGCGACTTAGCATACACAATGGTCATAGCCTGGACATAACATACACAGAAACACACACACATGCACACACACATGCACACACACACACACACACACACACACACACACAAACACACACACAGCATCCAGCAGGATGTGGGTATTTAGGATCAGATATGGTATATCAGTGCTTACATCGAAAGCTGGTACAGCAGCAACTATTACAATAATTAGATAGAAAATTGGCATTACATAAATACATGAAATCCTAACAGCCATAAAGCAAAAAATCGACTACAGACAGTAGCAAAAGCAACAATTAATATAATGCACCACTAGCCTACTAGGGGCATGTTTGATTGTGCGAACCCGTGGGCCCCGGATTCGCCAAATTCGTACATGTTCGATTGTACAAATCCGGATCCCTGGCCCACGAATTCGAATCCAGTCAACCACCTCACAGACCCGGATTCGACAGATTCATTTCCATGGTATCTACTCAAAACTCCAAATAAGTTATGCATACATTAGGTCAAAAGTTCACCATAATGCGTACAGATACCACGGAATAGTACGGGATGACCTGTAGCAACGCGGTTGCTAAGGTCTTGAAACGGATTATAAGTTGTGCACATTCTTATTGTATCCGTCCGATTGAAGTGATCTGGTCGGCGGGGATCTGGATCCAATTTCCACAATCGAATGCAGCCTAAGTGGAAAAGCCCCCCCCCCCCCCCCCCCCCCCCACACACACACACACATACACCAAACACTAGCACTAACCTGCAGACACATAGCTTTCATGTGCGACTTGGGCGAGAGCAGGAAGCGATGGTAGAGATCGTTGAAGAACTCGGTAGGGTTCTGGATGTCCGCTGTCTCGGTGCCCTCTTCCAGCAGCAGTCTCAGGTAGTAGTCGCCAATCTTGATCTCCTCCTGCAAGCTCTCATAGCGTACTTCAAACTCTACATGATTCCAGCTGATATCCTGGTTAGCAATGAGGTCGCGGTCGACCAGGAAGTTACGCAGCTCATTCTCCAAGGCGTCGCGCAGCTCTTCACGCGTCTTGAAGTTCCAGATGAGACTGGCCTTGTTGTGATCCTCTTCAAACTGGTAGTAGAAAAGCTGCCAGTTGGAGTCGGACTTGATGTTCTGACGGCGTCGTCGCAGTGTCACAGGTCGTTGATCGACAGCCTTCTTGCTCTTGCTGTTGAGCCGTGACTTCCAATGCAAGAGCAGACCTTCCACTTGTCCCGGACTGCGTACCTTCATCAGCGTCTTGACGGCCTTGAGATTGTCCCGCACGTGCATGCGATCCTTCTCCTCAGGAACAGCATCGGATGACTCTAGGTAGAGCAGCAGACCCAGCGGGAAGACACGGTGCAGCAACGCCTGGGCTACTGGATGACCAGCCGTCCACAGACCAACAAGATGACGACTTAGCTGCCGGTTTGTCAGCATACGGTTGTCAGAGCTGGACGTGAACAGTGCGGTGCTTAGGTGACGAGGCAGTGCACCCTCAGCCAGAGCAAGATCCTGCATCTTGGCCGCTATCTCACTTGTGCCTTCCTCAATGATGGCTTTCATCAGCAGGCCAGCACCTTTCACAATGGCCATACTGGGATGCTGGAAGAGACGGAAGAGATAGCGACCATGATCGGCCATCATCTCCAGCAGTGCATCAAAGTGTGAGCTATCCGTCGTCTCGCTGTACGGTGCACACAGTGCAAACGTCATGAAGTCGAGCAGAGCACTGATAACCAGTGCACCAGTGCCCATGTTGACATGACTGGTGAATGCCTTCAGCAGCTCCTGCAAGAAGCTCTTGGACGACAGCAAGGAGCCCTTGTTCATCTGCTCCTGGCCAAGGTCGTAGTTATCGTGCATTGGCTGCATCAAGCAGTTGAGCATGTCAACGGCTGCAAATGTGATAGCGTCGTTCTTCCTCTTCAGAGCTTTGACCACCTTCCAGCCCATCTTCTCACGGCAGCCGGCCAGTGCAATGAACGCTGCAAAGCCAGCTTTCGAGGCGAAGAGGCGACGGAGAGCCAGGAACTGCTCCTCCAGCTGGCTATCAGAGATGGCATCCTGGTCACCTTCTTTGGATAAGAGAGAAGATAGAGCACCATTGATCAGCTTCTCTTTGTTCTCCATGAAGAAGCCATCCTGGGTGACTGCATGCAGTAGACCACTGTACGCTACATTGGTGTTGAACATTGACACGGCATGTGCAAACTGCTCGCCTGGCATAGCGGAACCAATAGCCTTCAACAATTGGCTTTCGACCTCTTCATCCACAGGGATGCTCAAGGGACCGTGCCGCATGCCTCTCTGTGTTGGATGCATTTTGACCACCACATCGCGGTTCCCACTGGCTCGCACGCCATCCAGCACTGAGGCAAGAAGTGCATCTCGGTCCGTTGACGTGTAGACACGAGTATCGCCATTCACATACTCAATACCAAACTGCTGCGGGTCCTTCGTTCCGCGGATCAATGAGAAGACATCGGCCAGCGGACGGAGCGTCACCACACTGTACGTGGCTGGATCCCGTTCCACCAGGCATGTCTCTGACAATGCCAGGATACGCTGCACAGGTTCAGGATGTCGGCGACTGTGCTTCAGCACTGGGAACTCCGACACAGACATCACATGCTCGTCGGCGCTGAACTTTCCCAGCCGCCGTTCACGGAAGTATGATGACGATACGGCCTCTTGTCGGATGCGAAGCTGAAACCCAATGTAGGCATTGGCATTCTCCTTGACCTTGCGTAGCAGTACGTCACGCTCTTCCAGCACAAACATGTGCATGCGACCAAAGCCTCCATGAAGGAGAACAAAGCCGCCGGGGAAGTCAGACACAAGCGCGAGCGCTTCAATGTTCTTGAAGTGATACGAACACACTAACTTCTTGCTAAGTGCATCATGCTGATTCAGTGAGCATGCCGTCACTGACAGGATCACGGGCATCTTGCGTTCCGACCAATGAATCTTCGCAGCATTGAATCTGTCCTCATCTTTGCGTTGCTTTCCATCCAGTGAGCCAAACAGTGGCCGAAATTTCAGAGTTTCAGTCAGAAGGTCCTCACGGTAGTCACAAGAGAAACGCATGGTCTCAGACTTTTTCGCACCTTTCTTGACTGTAATAATGTATTCATTGTCAACTTTTGGGTTTGGTCCAATATCCAGGAAATCTTTGTACTCCCACTGGTTCGTGACTTCCAGTGTTTGCGGGTTGAGAGTTGTAATGGCGCGGCGGCCAACAGAAAACACTCGCTTGTACTTGCCTCGCCATGAATGCTTGGTACAGAAGTACCTGGCACTTTCCAAGTTGCCCTCTAAATTCGACATGACGAACTCCTCTCAACGCCCCTATCTCATCTTGTTCAAAATATTTTCGGGGCAATCAGAGCCAATCGCCACTGCTACACTTTCAAACCCTCAAAAACAGGAATGGATAATAGCTAATAGAGTCACACAGTATTCTTGATCAAATCCTCAACTGAAGCAGCCAAACGTCCTCACTTCCAGGTGACAAGCTAAACATTTACCACCCAAAAATATTCACCAACATGCAGTGTCCTCTGTCAGCCCCACTCCAACTGACTCAACCTCCACAAATCAAAGTAGAGTTTTCTGCGGCGCCACAGATCGAGCTGATTTGCTAGCGCCTAGCGCTAGCGCCTGCTTCCCTCAGCTGCACTGGCATCTGCGTCGCCATTTTCCGCTGCAGCCTTCGGGACCGCACATCTCTCGATCCTGAAACTACGAGTGCGTAACCAGCCGTAGCGACTAGCGAGCCGCGATGTCGATCAGATCAGCTCAGCTGGCTCAGACAGTCAGAGCGATCACGGTCGGTATGTCACGCGGAAGTGTCGCAAGACTCGCGATCTGACATAATTTTTTTATCAGTCAACTACAATTTTTGTAGCATTGCAACTCACGGCCAACTGTCTCAAGGCGAGTAAGGCGCGCATGCCATGCCCCAATGATGTCATGATATCGTCATACCCTTATACCCATCATCATTAATTTTTTCAAAACTACAATTGTAAAATTCTGACTGTACTTATTCAGTTATTGTGACCAAGATCACAGTGCCAGTGGTTTTCATGTACATACTCTTGTTGTGACTGATTGCCAATAATATTGGTCCTGGCAATTATTTCCAGAAACAGTCATGCAGTGAAATCAAAGTGCATCATTCCTTATCTACAGACTACAGAGACAGATTTTGTTCGTTAGACCTCCACTGTAGTCTGTACTTCTTGTGACAACAGCACTTATTACAGAGTCAGCATTGTGTCACTCTACGTTTGAGATACCTTTACTTGACAACTTTTCTCGGTGTGAGATCGTGGAAGATACTCAACTGTACTGCAATACTATTCCATCCATATATCCTGCACAATGCTAGTGGAAGCTGTCACGAAGAGCAAAGTGCTACTGTGTTTGAAATGATTACATAGCAGCTTCACTGATACAAGTATCGACTGAGTGCTGGACCAGATTCTCATACAGTTGTGAGCACTCCTGAACGAATAAGAATGTCACTACAAAGCAGCTTAGATCAAGAAGCAGAGTGCTTCCGTGTGCTGACGGCGTCCAGTCATTTTGAAGTCCTGCAACTGGAAAAGACTGCCGTCGACGGTGACGTGGTACGTAAACAGTACAGAAAGTAAGTACGTCCTGAATCACAATCAGTGATCAAAATTTTGTATGTCAATATAAATTGTGCATACATGCAATAGTGCGTCTGTTAGTCATACTGGGGAAATTCGATGTGCACAGAGTGTACTAAGAATTTACATTTTGCAATAACTACAGTTATAGCTACAGTTGAGACTAGAACCACTCTAAGAAATAGTACAGCATAGACTTTTTTTAAGGACTCTGCCCTCTGTCATCGTGTGTTTAGATGGCAAACTGGCTGGCCTGGCTAGCCTGGATCCTGGGTGCATGTGCACATGTCATGATGTGATCCCCGTTACCAATGCTCCAACTTTTGAAGTAGCGTCACACAAATTACAACACTATGACTGGCATGTATTCCTCCATCACTTCTTGTGTGCTTTGTACATGCACATGCAACACACACCAGTGTGGCTGTTCAGCCTGCCCACTCCTCCCCCCCCCCCCCCAGCCTTTCCGATGGCTTTGCATCTGAACACGTTGTTACAATCAAGATACTTTGATCTAAAACCAGGTCATTGTCACGTGTCATGTGTTGTGCATGTTTTTACTGCAGGATTGCTCTGCGTGTTCATCCAGACAAGAACCATAGCCCTGATGCGGAGCAAGCTTTCAAGGCAGTATCACTAGCATATGACTGTCTGTCCAGTGAAGACAGCCAGCAGGACTACCTGGATGAACTGATACATGGCACAAGCACTTCTAGTCATAGTCACAGCCAATCAGATCATCCCAAAAAGAAATCGAAATCACACGGCTCAAGCTTCAACCATGGCGCATACACTCGTAAATGGTGGGAGCAGAAGTCCTGGGAAGAGGTGAGTATGGTTTCTGAAATGTTTGATGGTCTGTGAAGCGACCGTCTGAGGCTGTGTCTTCAGTTGGCATGTGAAAATCAACTTTACTGAAAGTGTAGTGTTGTTTGGTATATGTAGAATGTGTAGTGTTGTTTGGTATATGTAGAATGTGTAGTGTTGTTTGGTATATGTAGAATGTGTAGTGTTGTTTGGTATATGTAGAATGTGTAGTGTTGTTTGGTATATGTAGAATGATGCACTTGACTCAGGTAACTGCCAGTGTAAATGTGCTGGGTGTTTAAGCACCGCAGAGCAAGTGTGAAGAAAATGGGGCCCCGTTTCCTCCATCATAAGCTAAATCGGGTACATTGGACACTGGTGCGTGTGTGTGTGTGTGTGTGTGTGTATGTATGTGTGTGCATGTGTGCATTCTCAGGTGGAAAAAGAACTAAAGAAACAAGAAGAGGCCTGGAAGGAGCAAGTGGCACATGAAGTTGCTGAATACCAAATGCGGAAAGAGAGAAAGTAAGTGTGGCTGGCATGTGAGGGATATGAATACTATGGAGTTCAGAGCTGATTGCTACTACTGACTGTTCACCTACAGTATACCTTGGTATAGATGTAGTGACTTGAGTAGGTCCTATGTCCATGGCTAGATTCTTCATGAAACCGCACGTCATGCCTTCTACATGTACATGTACTTCAAACTAGCTGAGAGTGCAATTCACGTCTTCAAGGTCAAGACCGTGAAACGCCTACTTGCGAGAAAGTACTCAAACAACTCTACATTGTTGTACTGTTGGGGTACATGACTGTACAATCATGTAGTTTGTTCAGGGCGGTGTTGTGTGTGCAACAGGGAGTAGTAGGACCAAGGGAGACAACACGAGATTGTAGTACAGTCAGACCTCGCTTAACCGCACACATCTGTTTTCCACAAAAATATCCGGATAGGCGAGGAAACCGGATAACTGAACACACATACTGGATATGCATGCGGCATGTCAAAAGCAGTGGCGTCATACATACATGTAGACGGGTCCTATGCAGTACAACTAGCGTGCACAGTATGTAAAAACAAGCGAGAAAAATGACAAGTGCATGCAGCTGAGTGCTGTCTGCATGCACCCAGCAAGTCAAGGACCTCGTTTGCTTGTACAACTTCCTGATTCTAGCTTCTGCAAGCCACGTGCAACCGGAGACGACGAAGCTTTTTGTACACATTTTAACCAGTTTGTACGCAAAATCTTGCACCGGTATGCGGATCGCGAGGTCTGGTTACGTTGTATGCATAACATATGCTGCACATCGGTAACCAGCGATTTTCTTCCGGATGGCGAGGGATCCGGATAAACGAGGACCGGATAAGCGAGGTCTGACTGTACTCGAAATGATGTGCATTTCGACCCTGGATTCGGAAGTTCTAGGTGATCTGTGGTCTTTGTGACTGTGACCGTGGTTGTGATCTTCTGGACCTGAAATGCGACCCAGGCCAACGATGCTGTATGTGACCATGCATCACTAGGGCTTGAAAGTGATGACGTCAAAACGGCCAGGGAGTAGTAAGTTGACATCAGATTTCTATTTTTGGATCCACTAAGGTGTGACTTTGCTATTGCCTAAGTATGTGGGTGCATAGCAACCCACTCATGTCGCATGCAGGTGTGACTTTTATTTCGCCACCAGTTGTAACCCCGCCCCCAGTAGCCAAATCAGTCAGTTTCACTGGCTACATCACCATGCTGTGGGTAAGACCGCTTGAAATGTGCTTGGATCCATACAAAAACTGGATCCAAGTGGATCCAGTTTTTGAATTTTTGAAATTGTTGCTATGCTGTGACGTAGCACTTTCAAGCCCTATTGGCTGTGCCCGAATTGCGACAGGAATGAGCAGCCCGGGGGGGGGGGGGGGGGGGGGGGGGGGTGAAACTCACGTCGTTTCATGCACCACTCGCCCGTGTCATCTCCCTGCAATGCTGCACCTCCCTTGTGTGCAGAGCATACAAATTATACTGGTTTGGTTTTGCAGGGATATCGCACTTTCCAGCATGTCTCACCAGTGCACTGCAGTGAACATGATTGTGTTGTAGGAAATGACATTGTTTAAAAAAATGTTGTGCTTGTTGTTACTACTGCTGGTGCTGCTGCTGTCGTTGTTGTGCAGGTCAGCCTATCGCAAGCGCCGCCATGCTCGGGTACACAACAAACTAGCGCCGCTCTACGCCAAGTATGGACTAATGGATGAATTCTCAGAGAGGTGAGTGCAAGTATGGACTAATGGATGAATTCTCAGAGAGGTGAGTGCAAGTATGGACTAATGGATGAATTCTTAGAGAGGTGAGTGCATCTTTGTCACCGAGGAATGTGTTGCCTCTAGCAAGTGACTATGTGGAATGCAGAGTGGCATTGCTGTGCTGTTCTTCACTAGTGTTCCTATCACGTGAAGGGATCATAGGGTTGGAAAGACACTACACCACCATTCACATAGCTACTGTACAGTTTCAGTACACAGTGTTGTACTTCTCTTCTTTCTCCAGGAAAGACGAGTTGAAACAAGATGCAAAGGAGGCCTCGGCAGCGGTGTACGCTTCCACACACGACGAGACGAGACAGGCAGGACAAGTTCAAGCTCATGGTGCTGGTCGCCATGGGCGCGAGGAGAAAGCGGCATCGCTGATGATTTGTGCGAGTGCAGACTCCTCCGAGGCAGCCACCAGTCTCTCGGTGTCGCGCCACGGTGGCAGTGCAGCAGCATCTAGTGGTAGTCACACAGCAACTAGTACAGTCACTGATAGAGGGCAGCATTCTACTGCTAGTACAGGAACAAGCAGTCGCAGTGAACATGAGCAGCAGCAGCCTGTCATATGTACGCTATGCAATCGCAAATTCCGCGATGACAACCACCTACAGGATCATGTTCGCTTCTCGCAATTACACCAGACTAATCTAGACAACTACATGCAGCAAAGTCATTCTGCTACAGCCGGTACGTAGCTGTAATGCCCCTCCTCCGCCATCTTACCACATCCCGTTTGATCTGCAGTTTTAGTACCAAATCAATCTTGTGAATTAGTTGTAGGCTGCCAACATGTTAGCCACATCAAAAAATTTAATCTTTTTTAAAATCTTTTTTCTTAAAAATTAATAATGAACCTGGCATGCAGGACTTGAGGTAATACTATTACGAATTGCAAGTGTGAAACACCTGACAGTTTCTTTTATCCAAACGTAGTTCGTGGACCAGTGCCGATATGCAGCAGGTACGCACACGCACACACACGCATGCACATGCACAACAACAAAGGAAGCTTGGCTTCTTGCCGAGTGAATTGTCACATCGTCAAAATTCTTCCCTGCTAATCAGTCCGCAAGACCAACAAGGAGAAATCGGGAAGAAGGCTAATGATGCAAGTCAGAATATTGGGATGCAGTAAACACCTAAACCAGTTATTGATTATGCTCGGTTGCTCTAGACAATGCCTAAAAGAAACGGAAAACTTACTGTGATCCATGACAAGTGAAGCGACAGAAAAGCAATCATCGTAACATTTTGCAGTAGGAATGCAGAAAGTGATCAGGATAAGCGCTGGTGTCCATACGCATGACACTCACATGCCACAATGTAATCTCCACTGTCAGCAGAGTGGAGTTCGGCCATGGTTGTTACAGTAGTAAAAAAAGAAACAGAAACAAAATACATGGCAGGGATCTGGCAGTACTACATTGAAATGACTAAAATCCGGACTAGAATTTAAACTGTTCGTCGGGGATGTTTCCCAATACATGCCTTTGTGCGGGCTACCTCTCAATGCATCATGCGTCTGTTCAATGCTGGGCTAAAGGCTGTATAAGTGCATATGCCAGAGCACACACACACAGAAAGGAAAGAATAAGAAAATACAGAACTGGAAAAATCCTGGCACTGACAAATATAACAGTCAATGTGCAGCTGCCGACATCACCAGCACCACCATTTCGTACTGGCGAATAGGAGACAGTGCGGCGGGTGCTCCTTGCAATCTAAGCCCTACATGGTACATAGCGGCCTGTAGGCTAATAACCGGCATCAGTGTTGACTTCCCTCTTGCGAGTGGGCTTCTTCTGCACAGCGTACCACATTGGTAAAACAGAGAAAAAACGACTTGGGATTCTACACTGGATTGTTGTAATTAATGGCTCATACAGGTTGTGAGCCCTGAAATTGCCCATAAATGCCTTGAAATTATGTGGCTCAGCCGCTCTTATTTCACACAGTTGGTAGTAAGTTAGTAATAACAGACCGTTTCAAATTCCAGAAAATCTCTATTAATTTTGACCAATACATCACTGCTTGCATTGAGTACAGCAGTGGCAAAAATTGCCAAAAATAGTGACCCTGTATAATGTGTATATCATGTACTGCTTCACAGGGCATGTGCTGTGAAGCAGAAGATGGTCAGCTGTGATTTACCATTTTATTTTATACAGTACGCTATATTGTAGCACATCATCATCCGTGCACAGTATCTACTCGTATATAAGCTGCTTATCAACAGTTTCCTGATTTTCCTGTACATGCTACATGAATGCATGGTGATAGTGCTGACCTTGTAGGCTTGGTTGTAGGAATTTCGAAGGAGAGCGTACGGGAAGCAAGACTCTAGCAGATCCATGGTCAAGAAGGGTGACTCCTGCACCAACTGTAGTGGAGGATGGAATAATGAGAATCACGCACGTTAAAACGGGTCCTACAATCTTCTCCACTGTGACGTGGCAAGGAGAGAACATCTGATCCTGCCAAACAGTATCTGATAGGATACAGAAACAGGGTTGTTGCCATGTTGCTGGTGGTATGTTAGCTTGCCCAAAACTACACCAGCAAAAATATGAGCCAGGCAACACTGATTGATCAATACCAGGTATACAGTGAGCTAAACACTGTGTTTACAAGTTGTGCACCGTGTTTACATGGTGGACAGCTGCATGCTATTGACAGCATTTGTGTGTTGCATGTGATCAGAATCAGTGTTATTCTAAACTGGGTAAAGAAGGGGAAATCGTTACCAATTTCCTGCTACCTGATTTGTGCCGGCACGTTAAGCGACAAGTCTCACATCAGAAAGCAGTGTAGTGGGTGCTGAACTGAGGAACACAAAGCTGTCCTTCCAGGAATCCGCGGACAGAAAGTTGAAATTCTGCGCAGAATTCTGCGGCACAAATCGCTACATTATGCGGCGGATAGCGTGAATTCTGCGGCTATACTGCGGTATTTCTGCGGCGCTGCACCGGCGAAAAGACAAGGCTATATGCTATGTACAAGTATCAATAAAAAATTTAGTGGTCGAAAACATACGATAGGCTCAATACAGTACGCAAAAACTCCCTCGACTTTGAATGCAAAATAGCGACAGGACACTGCGCTGTGCATGTGCATGAATATGAAGCGCGTGCTCGCATTGCCCCCAAACCGTGATTTTTCACGATTCTGCGGTGAAAACTGTGAATTCCGCGGGATATTAAAAAAAAAATGAATTCCGCGGATTTTGCCGCGGAATCACAGATTCCTGGAGGAACACAAAGTCACTGCCGGTGAAACCAGGGTTTTGCGACAACACTAGACAGTATAGGCACACCGCCACACCGGCATCAGTGTGTGTGTGTGTGTGTGTGTGTGTGTGTGTGTGTGTGTGTGTGTGTGTGTGTGTGTTAGAGAAAAACACGAACAGAGCACGGACACATATTTTATCAGCCCATTACATGGCGCACAATGTCCACGAGTATACAATTATTTTACAGTACCGCTTAGAGAACAAAGTGTGTGCATGTAGCCAGTTTCTGAATGTACAATCACTGTCAATCACTGCCATGTACATCTCTAGTCTTACCATGCCCAGCAGGATGTAGACACTCTCTCTGTTTTTCGGCATCTCTTTCTCAGTCTCCAGCTGACCCAGCTTCAGCAGGCTGGATGTGGCAAGCTAAGCAGAGGGCAAACAGAATACGGAGTAGTGTGTAGTTAAGTTAAGACGACTATACGCAGTAGCATGTTGTCAAGACGATCATACGAGGCTCGTGTGAACTCTTCTCACAACCAGCACATGCAGTATCCTCTGGTGGTGGGGCCAGTCTACAACTATCCTGAGTGTCAGCTACCGTACCACTACAAGGACTCATGCGTTTAGAAATGCCAGGAGTTGAGAATGTCAGGTATGTTACCCATACGGTCACTAACACAGTACCACATCCAAGGCAGGCACACCACTTGGCTTTGTTACGGGACCGCCGTACATTATAGATGAGGTAGTCACGGTATATCCGAGGTCAAACGACTGGTATCATAATTATATGGAAGGGCTAAAAAATAGCTCTTCACGTCTCACACTGTATGTTCTACCCAGGGTACTGGATGCTGACATTCATAGTGACGTTTCCCTGTGCCTGTAAAGATAGACGGCATTGTCATACTGAGGACTACACTTGGTGGAGAACATTCATCATCACTCACCGCCAAGAATTCATTCATTCTTTCGCTGACAGTGCTGTTGCCAGTCAGTGTGAAGAATGTTGCTGAAAGATAGTTGATGGCTGCCACAATGCAGTGGGCATTGTTCTCATGACCTATGCAATGCATGTGCACAAGAACAGCAACATGGTATTGTACAGCTGTCACACACTGTACACAGATCCGGCCTGTGATACCAAGGGAAAGGCTGCCGTTACGATAGCATTTGGCCCAAATCATCATCATCGCCGACTGACTTGAGATGCACGTGCAAACACATGACCGAGGGAAGCATGTAAAGTTGTAAACCAGTACTTTTGCACTACTTCATGAGAGCCACGGCCACCCAAGAGGTCCAGTTTGATATACATGTATGCAATGTGCATCTGCTGTTGGTACCTGGCAGTACAAATCGACATGTTCCACCAACAATAGTACTGTAATTTTCTCATACCTTCCAGCGTGGGTCTGAAAAGTGAGTTCTCTCGGAACGCCAAGTTAGGCAGGCCCACGGCAACAAACACCTGCAGATGATGATAACACAGCAGAGTAAACACAGTGTTACGGAAATCCGGTCTACACATAATTTCTAGCTACTACCCAATTACCCAGTACCCGTTGCAAAGAAATGGAATGCTGCCAAGCAACATAGCATATAATTATAACCAAACACACAAACACTTGGTAAAGTGTCCTTATTAGTAATACGGTGATTCTTACCATCAACAAGCACCAAGTGACATAGTCAGTTTGCGGATTGTCTGAGGAACAAGAAAGCCAATACGAACCAGGACATATCAGGTAGGTGCTACATGTACAATGTGTTTTGCCCATAGTCATGCCCAGGCCACATACATGTACATCGGTAATAGTCTGTTGGACAACACCGAGCGACATACCTCAGGGCAAGAGCAACATGAACAATTGCATACAGTGCTCTCTGTTCTCTGCTACTCCAGTGTTTTGTGTAAAAAAGGAACATATTAGAAAATCAAAGCTGATAGTTCTCGAAATCATCTTCTTTCATCATTGACGAGTGGAGTCTCCAACTATTCAATCACAACTTACCCAACACAAAGGCATCCATACTGTGACCCAAAGAGCACAGAGCAATGAACAATCAAATTAGTTAGTGCCACAACCTCCATTGCTAGTACAGGATTGCGTACGACTCCGATAACACCGTAAGGATCTGAAGCAGATCATCTGCTGTCTTTCACTACTTACCACATAGACCACGCAGACACTGTGCTAGGATAGGGTCAAAGGTACACTCGATACCAGCACTTGTGGCCATCTCATCCACCACCTGTGCACACAGCAATACAAGAAGAGTAGAGAACAATCCCAGAAGTTATTTCCCCCTGGCCTGTACTGATACTAGTAGGCTGACATGGTTTAATAGTCATCTTGATAGCCTGCGTCATGCTGCAGTGTGCGACCGGCAGTAATGATGAGCAACTGAGCTTTCATACCTACATGTACTTCGAAGTACACTGATTAATCTAGCGAATAACGACCATCGACCGTGCATGAGAAAAGTGTCGTTTTCGTGAAGTTGAAAGTATGCAGTCAAATGCCGGTGACCAAGTCTGAAGTTTGTATCATTACTTGCGAGTTGTTGTCATGCCCGAGGTACTTATTCACGAGATTAGCTGTACAGGTTTTGGGTAACAACCAGGGCAACGGATGGCCTGCACGTCTACAAGTCTGCAACATTGATAACTACTGTTACAGCATGTTCCCTTAGGACAGGCTAGGGGCTAGGGGCTAGGGGCTAGGGGCTAGGGGCTCCGGTGTCATTATATTTCTATCAATCCTGGCAATCGTTCCCAGGGGCTGACACCGTCTTGCCCTAAAATATTCAAGTCAATGTTTTGCTATACAGAATCCATTGCTTCCTAAGTTCCTATGGTGTTTGGGTAGGGGAGGAGGAGGAGGTGGTTGTGGTGGTGGTGGTGGTGGTGGCACGATACTTCGAGCAGTTTGTTTCCAGGGTCTGCTGTACACGTCCTGTCGCCATACAAGCAGCACACAACGCAATCTCACCATAGAGTCCTGCTCCGCTGGAAAGTGTTCTTTGAAGTCGAGGATGGAGCCAATCATGAATGGAATGCGCTTCTTCAACACCTACCAACACCACAAGAGAATCATGAGAGAAATCAAACCTGGTCAAATCACGAGCTGAGTGCACAGATAACAGCGACTGTGATACATTGCACACATCTCAATGTTACGGAGCACAACGGTCCAGTAAAAAGTAACGTGAAGTTAATGTTGTGTGCTGGATTAATGGCAACCCCTACACATGACCAGACTGTAGAATGACCTTGTCACTTTGCCTATTGGCATGGACAATTGACCATGCAGCACGTCAGTCAATGCAATGATATCATCCGGGCTCTGACTGGGGGAGGCCATACCGAGTGCATTGATTCCATGAGCAACTTGCGGAAGTTGATGATGATACCAATGATGGTCATACGCTGCAACACCTCATCAGTACCTGCATAGAATATGTACAGCGGCATGCGTGAACAGCACATACAGACTTGTTACAGTCGTGTACACAGTGCTTCTCAATGAAATCCAATCGAGTAAGTCCGTGAACATCCCAGTGCTCACAGGTCTAGGGCTGCACCGCGCCCAGCGTACTTGACTCACACGAGGGGATTTCATTGAGCAACACTGTACTAATCACTGCAATCACATAATACTGCACATGTCACTAGTAGACACCTGGAGAACTGAAAAAGGAAGATAAGATTCTTATTTCACTGCATGTTTCGATGGCATAATTTCCAAAAAATAGTGTTGCTGATGATCTGAAAGTTGTGTATACAGAGAGATAGTGTCTGCCCTAACATTGGAGCTCATGTTGTAGGCTGCCAGCTGACTGACATCTTATTGGCGCTTTTTTGCGGCTTTGCTAAGTGGAAGGTTCAACTTGCTTCGCGTGTCCTTGAGACGGCAGTCGTGTGTCAGTCAAGCCAGTCATTTGGCAGAAGTGAGAGCTCCAACGTCAAGAGCAGCCACATTCTTCAAATATTACCAGTTGATGTAATAGGGGTGAGCACACATGCTCTTTCCCTGGACTCTTCAAAATTACAACTCAGTTCACTGTATCATTTCGACGTTTCGGCAAATCGCCATCATCAGGGAACAATATGGCAGCTAAGTACATTGTACAACAACATCGTAGTTCACACATACTGAAGTACAGAAGACGTGGATTGCGTGCAATTTGTTCTTGAACGCAAGCATTACATGATCTAAATCTGCTCCAGCTGAGCAAGCAGATCACAACCATCATGGGTGCGTGCTATGCCGCCGCAGCCAATACGGGAATACTGTGCCCTACCTTTCAGGCGCTTGATCATCTCATTGCAAACCTCTGGCTTGTCGTAGTTGGTACGGATGTTGTGCAATGTCTCCTTGTTGTTCGTCACCATTTTCTAAAGTTCAATGCAAAGTTGAAATATATAGCGTAACAACTCTTGACAAAATGCCTTTGACAAAACAACAGCAAGGATATGAGTTGTTGTGGAGTGGGGCATAGAATTCAGGCTCAGAGGAAGCTGTGAAATACTAGCACAGCCTACTATTTGAACTGGCAAACGTGTACGCCATGCATGCTTACCAACACATGATTCAAAATACTCTCTCACACAACAGCGGGAGAAGCTACACAAAGTGATGGGCTGCCTGCCTATTTGGTCTGTTTGAATCCTGTCACTATGGAAACACAAGCTTACCTTCAACTCCAAAACTTGGCCCATCACTTGGTGCATGCACTTGTCACCAAGGTAACGGATGCCGTACGGACCGAGCAGTTCACACAGAGCCTTCAGCTCTGAAATAGCAGCAGCAGCAACAATAAGAACAACACACGCACGCACACACACACAAACATGTACAGGTGGATAGGTTGGTCCAGTGCAGCAGGGTTTCTTTACCAATCACTTCCCACATTTTTATGCACAGCACCCACGTTACAACCAGCAAGCCAATGAAAGCAGGCAGACACACCCGGCACTTTATGTGCACGGTTGCAAACCAAACACAGGTTCATTGTCGGTTAAGTAATGTCTTTAGAATTAAATATACCTTGTGGATCAGAATAGACTTCAGCCTTGAACAGCACGGTGTGATTGCTGATGAAGGACTTGCGACTTGGAGAGTAGCAGATGTTGCTGGTGCTGACCCTACGTAGCAGTGATTCCAAGTACCTACCAGCAACATGCACACCCACACCAATCCGCAGAGACAGTTATGAGAGTATAGGCGTACATAATACATTGTACTGTGTTTCCGTCACTTACTGCTGAGCTTAGTGCATTAGTCAAAGAAGGGTACATCCGCTACATGGATATGCCGTGAAGTTATCAGAAATTGGATGAAGAAAATGAAAGTCTGGATGCCAAATTCTTCTCCATTTCTATTTCAAAATCATTTTCGACTTCCTTCCTTTACCTGAACAATACATGTACTCCCGAGAACAGCTTCACAAGCATTCCCTTTCTCAGGATTAGTACAAAAAGAAAAGCAGACTTTCCAGAAGCAAGCTTCCACAAGAAGTACACACTCCTTGCCATTGTCCGAAAACACGTTACTCAGTGGGGTGTTTTGTGTGGAACGGAACCACAACAACTAGGTTAGCACTCTGACTCAATATAAAACAAATGTCAATCATACAACCTCCACTAGTTTGTAGTAGTCACATGGACAGACTACTACTACAGGTTGTGCGAGACATCCGAGTGTAAAGCCAGTGCTGAGGACACACTCACAGGCGCCTAACAGATTTCTTACCAGGCTGTGTACTGACTGCAGAGTGTGGGATTGCCATGCGCGTCTAGTGGCTGCGTTTGTTGCAGCAGCACAACGTTGAATACACGTGTCATGTCAATGTTCACTGAGCACACAAAACATCCATATTTTTTAAAAGAGGAGGAGAAACACAGACCATTACAAATTGCAACGACAAATTGACGAATGATATTGACACAGCCGGGGGGCATATAATCTCCATTGCTACCAAGCGACCAGCAAGCAACAAGTAGTAATTGGCAGCAAGTGAAAAAACACGGAATACCCGGAACTCATTCAGTCTCCCACGCGCTGCCTCCACCCTATTCACTAGATCCCCGATCTTTGCTGGCTATGTGTTTTGGGCAACATTACCAACGCAGGAAAGACAAGCACGTCGATGGATAATTTTGTTGCTAAAATCTCTGCTCAATTATAGGTTTCATGTATTTGCATGACATCCTGCTGGTTTGTCTCCTCCTTTGCCTTCTTTGCCTTTTATTTGTATTCTTTTATCTGTTTTACTGCTGTGGTTGGCTTCCACCCTTTTCTCAGTTTTACTGGCCGTCATCATGATGTGCCATGAGATAATGATATAAATACAAATACAAAGTGGTCGGATAATTGCCATCACTTCTTATCTCATTGACACTCACGGTGAGCACTCACCGAAATTCTCCACAGATCTTAGGTAGGTCATGAAGCCCTAGCAAGGATGACAGACAGCCGGATACACAGAGACATGGGCAAACAGGAAACATACAATGAAAGATCTGTCCATCTGTAGCAGCAGTATTAGTATTGCACTACCTTGCTTACAGAACATCAGTTGACATACTCTGCTGTCATCAACAGAAAAGAAAGAATTATCGTAGCAGCAGTGTCGTGTCTGCTGGGCACTGGCAAGAGGAAACCGGGTGACACACCTCTGTTTCCCGTAGAATCCAGGAAACTTCACCGATAAGTAATATCCTGTTCCGGGGGCATATCAATCATGACTGGATGTTGTTGCACTGGACCTTTCCTAGTCTCACTTGTGTAAACGACATGCCAATATAGACTTCAATGCCCTGCTTCATACGTTACAACGCGAGGGGAGGGTATAGCCACATGGACCTTGAATCCCCTAACAGACCCTGCAACAAACATCGGTTAGTATAGGGGTGAAAGCAATATGAATATCATCACCAATCATTGACTCACAATAACACCAGTCAGGACCTCCGTGGGCCGGGCAATGTCCATGGCTTCAGGCTGGAACTTCAACAGAGTGCTCAAAATCCTGAAGACAAACACCCAAACACCCACATAACAATGAGCAATACGACTCTAACTCTACCCCAGACACCTGACATTGGAATTCTGTATGGGAATCATGAAGTATTGCCATGGGAGCTGATGACAGTATTGGACATCATGCCAAACACCAGGTGAATCCCGAGGTAACGTAGGCAACACGGGGCATGTGCATCCTTTCTCTGAGGGCGCTGTCCACGCCTTACCACAACCTATAATTCAGCATGAACACAGCTGGGAGGGGGGGGGGGGGGGGGGCAAAAATCACTGGGTACACTAGTTGTCCAGCTCTGTTCAGTGTTCAGGATCAAAGCACTGGGTAGTGACTGAGAGGGTCGGAGTACAGGGTATACTAGGATTTGGTGGCCTGGTGTTGACAGTACGGTGGCGTGATCATATGCTTGACTCAAGTGAGTTCTTCGTAGCGAATGCCACAATCCACAAGGCGTCATACTACTGTACTACACGCTAGCTCCCAACTTCAAAATTTCAGTGTCAAAAAGACGAGTTTTACATTGCTAGCAGGATTGAGAACGCCCACACGGACCCGGCAATCTCTTTAAAAAAAACCCATAGCTAATACAAGGACTCCGATGCCAAGAGCTTTAAAAAAAGAAAAGAAATGAAGCGATAAGCATAAGCAAACATGAGTGTTCATACCGCACAAATTGCTCCTCAACAGGTCCAAGGAGAAACTCCCGAGGCACAAACGTGTGGCCCCAGACGACGATCGTCGGGAAATGATTCAGTGTGTAACACAAGTCATTGATCAGAGAAAAGCTCGTATCCATCCTATCAGCATGAAGAAACAACACAGCACAGCATTACACACATGCACACACGTACACGAACACGCATACACACATACAACTTTAATACTCCCCTCAATATAGTACTACTTCGAAGTAGTATTAGTAGTATACTGTAATTTCACAAATTTTCGGTGTACTTTTATTTTCGGTTCTTTCGGTGCATCTGTTTCATTCCTAAAATTTCAATACACCGAACAAACACTAACACACATAATCCAATAGGGAACTGCTTCTCTGTACCGAAAATTTCTGTTCACCAAACCTGGCCTTTTGCCCTGATACCGAAAATATTGAGCACCGAAAAATTCTGAAATTAGAGTATTGTAATGGTATACCCCTCCACCTAAAGGCTAAATAGGGTGATTGTCGGGTACTTATGGCTCCCATAGAGGCGTGGTCGTTAATTTGACACAACTTGAGTTTGAAGTACACAGCGAACACTCGCACTAAAAGGTGTTGCTCGTTATCACATTCTAAGGCGGAGAACCAAGAGCAGTCCAGTGTTTCCCATTCACTTCGTCCTGTGTTCATTAGTAGTAATTGTGATTTGAGGCAGGAATATACCTGGTGTAGTTTTCACGAGCCTTGCGTTCGCTCTCCCTGCCCGGCATGACAAATTCCTGAATTCCATGTTTCTTTGACTTGTCATTGGCACGGCGCGCCTGATCCTTCACAATGTTGGTTGCATTGAACGGCAACAGCTACAGTGGACAACAGGGAGAAATAGAGAAAGCCATACACGTTAGCTTAGAACAATGAAATAATGACACTACACAGCTACGGAAGCCAAACGGGATGGGTACACGGAGGTATGCCTTCACAAACGGATCTGCTCACCTCCAAGGGGTTGTCTTAACCTACTGTTCTAACTTGATAACCTAGGCTAGATGTTCTGCTTCAGGTCACAGCACTTGAATAAATAACAGTCACTTCACCACATTTACTGCAGTTCTGGCCAGAGAAATCCGACCTCGTGAATAAAATAGCGCCGCCCTCAAGTGAGCAGCGTGGTGTTTGTGATGCTAGGGCTGCGTAGCCCTCGGTGCTATCACACTCATGAGATTGGATTTCTCTGGCCAGGACTATCCGCAGTGAGCTCCTCAGCGGAATGCCACACAGCGCCCAGGCGACGCAAGCCCAACCATTTCCTGGGCAAACTCTCATTCATGCCAAGCATTGTTGTACCATGCAGGACATTCACACAACACCTGTGGGGCATCAACAAGCAGTTTAGTGGCAAGTGCACAGCTACTGCCATGTGTCCTGTGGAACTAAATGATTATCATGGGCAACTTCGGACACTGCAATGCAGTGAAACAGCCTCCCCAAAGATAAGCTGCGGAAGGTCATCAACCACCTTGGCATGCCCAACAGCATTGCCAGCAAGACAAGGGTATGCTCAAAGCAGCAGTGTTTCTTGCTTTATAATTATGGATTACACTCATTATTGCCTTTCCAGCTGGGTTTGACCCTGCCGTTCATGCAACATGAAAGGATGGGACACTGGCTGCCATGATTCAAAGACGCATGTCTACTACCCACTTCATTATCACTCTTACATACAGTAATGCGGCATAGCAAAGAAAATGACCTCTCGGCTATACCGTTATGTGACCAAGTCTATACCGTTATGTGACCAAGTCTATACCGTTATGTGACCAAGTCTATACCGTTATGTGCTACAGTGTAAGTAACGTTAGCTAGTAGAGCCTGATCGACTTACAGCACCGTTGAGGCGCACATACTCGTCGCACATCTGACCAAACAAGCCGGAGATATCCTTGCTGATCAGCTCCAAATAGTGATTGACAGCCTTGACACTGCGCTCACCAAACGCGCCACGCTGTGTAGACGCAGAACACATGCCAGCAAGCAGGTGCAATTATTAATCTCTCAGATGCACACAAGCAGCCGAGTGGCATTTAGCAAGACATGCCAGCACAGCACTTAGTGTACTCTACCCAGGCAGTGGATGTACATATGGCAAGTTAACACTGAGGAAGGGAATTTCTGAATTGCGGATGTCCGTTTGAAAGGGAAAAAATATTATTGCAATGTAATTCATGTACAATCATGTAGATGTAATCCACTCTACCTGGAAGGCAAGTGAAGCATATGCAGAATGAAGGCATTGCACTGCACTATACGGTACCACCAATGGCAGCCTCACCGTGCTCACCGCTACTGTCAACATATAACCATGAAACTGCCAACTGTGACTGATGATCAATAGCAAACTTCGACACTTATGACTGGTTCTCTCACCTCTTCTGGACAGTGCATGCAGTTGCCCTCCAAGAACATGGCACAGGTCAGTGGCACTGCAATCACATACCTGTACAGGCAGTCACCACAACCGATATGAATGTGACCAGTGAACACAAGATAATTTCGGGACAATGGCACACTTTCTCCCCACCCCTTCCCTTCCTGTATGGGTACATACTTCAATGATAGCTTGTAGGGCAAAAGGGTGCACGTCTGCCAATATCAACCATGATAACGTGACTCCCCCATGATGCTGCCCAATGCCTAACCCTGGTCAAAGCAGATTTTCATCTAGAAAACTGTATGGAGGACAACAACTAACAGGTATCCGTCCCAAGCCCATCCTCAGCCAGTCCCAAGCCCATCCTCAGCCAGTCCCAAGCCCATCCTCAGCCAGTCCCAAGCCCATCCTCAGCCAGTCCCAAGCCCAGCCTCAGCCAGTCCCAAGCCCAGCCTCAGCCAGTCCCAAGCCCAGCCTCAGCCAGTCCCAAGCCCATCCTCAGCCAGTCCCAAGCCCATCCTCAGCCAGTCCCAAGCCCATCCTCAGCCAGTCCCAAGCCCATCCTCAGCCAGTCCCAAGCCCATCCTCAGCCAGTCCCAAGCCCATCCTCAGCCAGTCCCAAGCCCATCCTCAGCCAGTCCCAAGCCCATCCTCAGCCAGTCCCAAGCAGGGGCGTACACCGCTCGCCTCCAGGAGTGGTTCCCATGCCACCTGATCAACCAACATTCCACACGTTAGTGCTCTTATACGTATCAGACGGAGTTTCTGCATGAACTGCTGGATAATGTCACTGCTATGATTTAAAAAGGACTCAACTTTGCCAAGGCATGTTTATTATAGATGTTTTGTTCAGCAGGACGATTGCATGCAGTCTTGAGTCGGGTTATATTCTCGAGAGGACTGCGGTAAAGCTGCCCAAGCTTCGAATCATCTGGAGCAAACATCACACAGGGGCAAGCAGAAGCCACCATGGCATGCCGGTCAAAAGACTACCCAGGGAAACTCCTCCAACCAGGATAGTTGAAAGCGCTGTTTGCCATCCGTCTGGGCACGCACAGGAAACGAAATCCTTCGCCTTCGGTGGTGCACAATGATTATCGATGACGGAAATCTTTTCCATGTCCAGCATATTTCGGCGGAATCAGGGATTACACAGTGGAAGTACACTTTCAGAATATCCTTTTCAACACACTCCAATGTCACTGAAGTAAGTCTTGGATGATCCAGCTGCTTCCAACAACGGTCGCTCTACAGCTTCGCCGACGATTCCGTACTCTGTGCTGCTCGTTGCAGACTCCATTTGGAAGTCAGGTGCGTCCGCAATCTCATCTACTAGTATCGCTTGACCTTCGTCACTGGCTACACGCTTTGCCTCCTGCTCTAAATAGCTCTGAATAGAGCGCTGGCCCTCTGGATGCCGACGCTTCATTTTTCTTTTTCACAAAGCGAAAGCATCATCAAAAACGTAACCAACTTTGTCAAAACAAATTGACAAGGAAATGACTCTGAGATCGAGGAATCGATGTAACTCGTATGTAGAGACTTTGTTGTACCCAGTAAGTAACGTTAGTTCAGTAGATCTACGCTGTGTAACAAAAATGCCCCAGCAGCACTTTCACACCTGGGCGATACGAGCATCCTCGGACCGCCAGGCGGACTGCAGGCGCCTAGCGCCTAAGTATGCATGCACTGCACGGTGGGCCTGGATCTAAACATTCTCCGTACCCACATACAACAATTTTTACTGGTTCCCAGGCATCCCGGGAACCGCCCTATGTACGCCCCTGCCAAGTCCATCCTCAGCCAGTCCCAAGCCCATCCTCAGCCAGTCAAAAGAAGGCTCAGCCTAGTTGGAAACAAAAGAGCTGCAGCTCAAGACCCTCCCTATGCTTGCTACAATGCAGGTGCTATCATACTAGCCACTCAAACTATTAGAGCAGGAAACCTGAACTTCTGCTAACACATGATCTACACCTCTTGGCTGATCACGTGATTACTCACGTGGTAATACAAGTAGGAAACATCACCCAGATTGTCCCACAGAGCGTTCATGTGAGTGGGGGGGGGGGGGGGGGGGGGAGGGAGAGGGATAGAGGGCACGAGAATCCAAGTAGTTACCTGGCTTGGTTGGAGCCAGAACACACACTGAATGTGTACTCCAGGATCTTTGGATAATGGCTGCAGCAACGACCACACACAACGGCAACACACAATGCAACACACAACACAACACACATTAGCACATGACAAACAACACACATTAGCACATGACAAACAACACACATTAGCACATGACAAACAACACACATTAGCACATGACAAACAACACACATTAGCACATGACAAACAACACACCAAGCAATGCAATACATACACGAGGAACTTTCATTTCCAAATTCTAGTATCAAGTTATTAGTCCCTCAGCTGGCCTACTACCGCATGTTTTCAGACACAAGGGGGGGGGGGGGGGATAGCTATAGCCGATCCACAATACTGAGCCTGTCACAGACAGAACGGTAGTAGTAGGACATCATGCTGTGTTCATGCAGTACAGGATATTACTCATTCGAACAGAAGAGAGTCCATGTACCGCAATGTTAGTAAGATACAATGGCTGTACGTACTAGAGGAAGGAAAGATCAGACACATCATCCAAAATATCCTGGAGTTGATCAACCATTCGTGAGTGGAACACCACCGTGTTCATGTTGAATGCCAGCTGCCGGTTCTCATGCAGATGCGATTGACTGCGTGCTGCACTCATGTAAGCCTACAGCACAGTACGGCACAGCACAGCACGGCACAGACACACACAAGTCATGGCACAACAAAGAATGGAAAGCAGCTAGCCAACAGTTCTAGCCATATATTTGACACCTGATAGACACCAGTACATCAGGCGGGTAGGTTCATTGTCGAAGGGCGTGGATCTGAACCACTTGATTGGTGTACTGAACCCTGTACTGAACCCTGCATTGAACCCTGTACTGAACCCTGTACTGAACCCTGTACTGAACCCTGTACTGAACCGTGCACTGAACCGTGGACTGAACCCTGTACTGAACCCTGTACTGAACCCTGTACTGAACCCTGCATTGAACCCTGTACTGAACCCTGTACTGAACCCTGTACTGAACCGTGCATTGAACCGTGCACTGAACCGTGCATTGAACCGTGCACTGAACCCTGTACTGAACCCTGTACTGAACCCTGTACTGAACCCTGTACTGAATCCTGTACTGAACCCTGTACTGAACCCTGCACTGAACCCTGTACTAAGCATTGCACTAATAGACTGCATGATCTACAAGGATCAAACCTCCCACATAGAACATAACCTAACTCCGGTGTTGTGGCATGCAGCTAGCTGCTAACCTGCAGTCTCATCCAATCCAAGCGAAGCATGGAGAAGTCAACATTATACTGGCCACTCTCCGCTGAAATATACATAGCAACCACACGTACACACGCACGCACGCACGCACACACACACACACACACACACACACACACACACACACACACACACACACACACACACACACACACACACATGTATGCACACAAACGCATACACAAACACATACGTACATACATGTACATACACACACGTGTACACAACAGGAATACCAATGGAATTCGTACAGATGTGTGTGTGTGTGTGTGTGTGTGTGTGTGTGTGTGTGTGCGTGCGTGTGTGTGTGTGTGTGCGCGCGCGTGTGTGCTTACCTGCTTTGATATCCAGGGTTGACAGCTCATGCAAGAAACTAGTCATGATCACAGACTCGTCATCACCAACGTTGATGATTTTCTAAACAAAAGAGCAGATTCAGCGGAGTAGAAAATAACACAACACTCTCAAAACATCTACTAGTACACAATGTACCATTAGTAAGCGAGTTAGCAGCCAGGGTTACCAATTCCAAGATGAAGATACCGCTGCACATGCCCAGTATGAAGACCTGAATATGGCCAATTAGCCATCCACATGTACCATTGTACATTGTTGATTCTGCACATTCTATTCTAAGAGGTGCAATAGGAACACCCATAGATATACACCTGTCTCACGTACACGTGCTAATAAAACCTGCCACAACACAATCATGTGGTTTTGTAACCTTGCAGCATCCAGGCAACTCTACAAGCACAGTGTGAACATCATCATGACATCAGGACAACAAAGCTCTTATTGAATACAACATACATGTGAGTCAGACCAACCTGAATGACTTCACTGAGCAAGGAGTGGTCAAAGCCGTTCATGTATTGCACAAAGTAGCGGCGGAGAACTTGCTGGTACTTCTTAGCCAGTGCTGTACAGCAGCAATGACCCAGGTCACACAGTATAGTTATACAGTGGCGGATCCAGGAGGGGTTCCAGGGGTTCCGCGGAACCCCCTAAATTTTGAAAATACACTGCTGGAGACTGTACGCATGTGGATGTACATGTATCAGCTATTCATTTTTGACTAAACTGAAACCCCCTGTAGAGATCACTGGATCCGCCCTTGGTTATAGTATAGCAACACACCACAACATACAACATGAACAACACTGGAAGAAGAAGAGAAGAGGGATAGGTATGAGCACTGTCATTTCCCAGGACTCTGAGTCATGAATACTGCTGGTCAGCAGTTCTAGTTACCCGCATCTTTTGTTTTGTTGTCTTCTATGGCACAGGTAGTTGGAACTTGGAATACGCAGCACACACATGTTGTTATGAAGAGGTATTTCCCATTAGAATGCGCCACCCTGAACCAAATTGAAACACATCATTCCACCATCAACAATGCAAAACCATAGTCAATCCGATAGCCTGGGGAGAGGGGGCAGTGTGTTCTTAGTCAATCTGATACCCCCAGTGACTGTTCTTACCTCGCAACTCGTGCATATAGAAGAGCAGCTCTGGCAGTTGCCTGCATGGTATCAAGAACAAGAGACAAACAAACACAACTTTAGGCCGGCTTAGTGCTGCAGGGAGGTGCAGGCACATATTACATGTACTACAAGTACTGCTATCACACTGTAATGGGATCTTCGTTGAATCACTTACTCCTGCAAAAACTCTGACAGGGAAACATCTTCAGATATAATGGTACCTATATTATCGCAGCAAAGTATCCAGACACACAGTTACCACGGTGCACTGTTCACTGTCCACTGCACAAGCAGAGCACATGTATAGCATGTGCATTGCGTTACACAGATCACGGTAATAGTACTTGAGACTGTATGCCACCTACCTGTCTTGCATGTCATCCGGGTTGACCTTGGTCTTGCTCATCTTGGGAATTGGGGCATCCGCATGCCGCACCAGCCAGGCAATTTCATCCCTGGCCAAAGACAATGCCATCAGTAGTACCAATGCCTGTAAGTGTATCAACACCAAACAACCGGGACAGCAGTTTTTCAAAGTACATGTTTTGTACATGTTCTTGATACCCAGTTCAAAGCGAAGAAGAATGCATACAGTCGGTAACGATGCACATCGTTAACTGACGAAATCGATCAGCACGCGACAGTGACATACACGTATGTCCGAGGAAGCGTCCAAACAACTAGCAGGACACACACAGGTGTGCAAAATGCCTCAGGTTTGCAGTGTTCTTTGTGTTGCTGGTTCGAAGGGTGGCTTCTGGAGCCGATAGCCCCGGTGCTAGTGATTGCGTCGACCTCCAGTTGAGAATGAATACCCTCCTCCCCCCACCCCCTCCCCTCCCCTCTCCCCCTAATCCACAATAGTATACAATAGAGTCAAACAGGATATATGGTTTTGCTGTTGCTGACCTTGGGTCCTAGCAAACCAGGCTGGTCACCGAGAATGTTGACAAGGTCGCTGAGAGCATTGCGCAAGTAATTCCGCCGGTCCACATGAGAGCGAGGTCTGGAAGCAACCATACACACAAACAACACGATAATGATGCATGTGCTAGTAAGTTGCATTGGCCAGGTTGGACAAATGCAGCCGCAGTGTGTACTGGATCAAATGCAGTGCTGTTATGGCAATCCGAGTACATACAATAGCACAGCAGATTACAGTGGATTACGTAATTCATTTTAGCAACCTCTTTCCTTTGATTTTACTTGTATTACGCTGCACGGATACTGATAGCATCCCATTTTTCCACAGCTTGCTCTACACAGCCTTAGCATGAATGTGTATTGGTTGGCAGTTAGAGTTGTCCAGTAAGCATTGGTTTATGCTCAACTCACAGCCTTCCCTGGTCAAGATACAGTAGATTTAAACAGTTGCACAGCTGCGAAAGGTGTACAGTAGGCTTTTTGGCTAGTCTTGTAGGCAGATGCAGCTACAGTCAGACCTCGCTTAACCGCACACATCGGTTTTCCACAGAAATATCCGGATAGGCGAGGGAAACCGGATAATCGAACACATCACGTATGCTGTAAATCTGCAACCAGCTATTTTCTTCCGGATGGCAAGGGATCCGGATAAAAGAGGATCGGATAAGTGAGGTCTGACTGTATTTCGGTTATTGTAGCATACCTGTGCGACAACTTCACAAGGCTCACAGGTCATTTACGGCATGTCAGCCAACCTGTTTAGCCATTGTCATCACAACACTAACGACAAGAACGACAACGGCAATTTAAAACAACAACTTACCCGTGAAGAACAGCTGCTTTTGCTGATTCATGTAGCCACTTCTCCGCCTTGTCCATCTTCATTCTGCCAACAACAGACAAAAAACGGACAAACAGGATGAGATCACCAAAAACTAACCAGCACAGGAACAAGGTGGTGTGACCCGAAAGAGATTAAAACAGTTTACTGAAACTGCAGTTGTCAACGGCATCCGACACTCAGAACCAAAATGATCTTACATAGCATAAAAAACATACTCCTGATCTACAGTTTGGTAAAACTGTACTTACAGTTTGAAGACAGTCTCGAATGCTGGATGGACTGCCATCACCTCGTCACGACATAGTGGAATGACGTAGTTCTCATGCAGGGGAATCTTCACCAAGGCTAAGCACTCTTGACTGTTCGAGACTTGTTGCGGACAAGCCAGGAAGCCAACTGAAGCAACACACATCATTACACAGAGATATCAACTGGTGGGAATGAATGCTTGATTAGACCTTGATCATGCACAGCAGTGGGTAGACAGAAGGCGTTTTAGAGTAGTGTAAGAAAAATAGAAACTAGGAGTGAGTGGCAACCACAGCAATGTGTGCGGTGTACTGTACTCGTATGTGTGTGTGTGTGTGTGTGTGTGTGTGTTTGTGTGTGTGTGTGTGTGTGTGTGTGTGTGCACGCGAGTGCGCACATGTGCGTGTAGTACTGTGAGCACCAGTGCACAGTGGGCTTCTAGAAAAGAGCACATATGCTTAGCATATTTTCAAAACACAGATTGAATCTTCTCTAAACAATATTAACTTATTTAGCAAGGTATTTAGCTCTGTGTTACTGGATTTCTGAAAGCTCTGAACAAGTACACACCATACTAGTAACTTACAAATTATCCACTTTGCGTAGACATCCAGAGACAGATATTCACATGGCATCTGAACATCAGACGAACACAACAATCAATGGAGAGAGAGAGAGAGAGAGAGAGAGAGAGAGAGAGAGAGAGAGAGAGAGAGAGAGAGAGAGAGAGAGAGAGAGAGAACACACAACCACACTCTACGCTCCCGTCTCCACAATACCACGTTACACAATACAAACATGTCGGGTATACATGTACAGCTAGCAACCTTGTCTGGTTGCAGAGTTTTCCTGCAAGTTCAGTACCGTGATCCTTGCTGTCAACCAAATTTGCTGTGCTTTACTGCCCTCCACACTATAGCATCAAACTAACATCAGTCAGTATAGTTCCCGGGTGGACACTAGCCACCTCTAAACTATGATAACTTCCTTTATTTATGAAGAGAACAGGGCAGCCAGTTTGTGTTCTAACTTCAAAAAAGAGTTTCAGGCCAAAGCAATCCTCAGACACTGACAATACAATCCTGGGACTGGTCACTATAATGCTGACTATGTGCAAGTAGTGCAGCTACTGTAGTAAGTGTTTGGTGAAGATGATAGATTTCTCGTCCGGCTGAGCGAAGAAAGACATGAGAGAAAGTTCTCACGCCTTTGGCTGCAGCCAACAACACCTCAATTCTGTGCTGTCACCCTTGTTGTCTATGTCTCTCTGTGTGCCGGTATATGTGGAGCGAGAATACAGAGCGGGTGTCAAGCCACACGCAAAGATACTAAGGTGTAGGTGCGCAGTCCTCACTGATGTGCAATATAACTAGCACTGAGGCGCTGACGCCTGCAATGCATACTATTACCAGTTGTGTGATGATTGCTGAGGCAAGACATTTTAAGTTAATGCACAATTTCTCCTCATATGTGTAGGTAGCTACGCGCTCTGCACATTGAGCACTTTCTTCTGCAGCTGCCACAACATTTCGTTGTGGTCTCGTCACACACCTTACTTCTAATACCAGTATTAAAAATGAATAGCACTATCTATTTACACCGCACTCTTGTGGATTAATTGTTGTACGCTGTCTGTTCACGGATCAGTTATTTCTTTTCCTCTAATGTATCTGGCCATGCAGCATACACCACATTGCAGACAGGACACAACGAAGACCCTGCACACTATCGTGGAGAAGCCTTAACACATAGTCCCAGCACTAGCAGCTATTGCTTAACACGCAGTCCCAGTGCTAGCAGCTATTGCGCCCGTCATCACAACACACTGCTATGCTCGCCATTTTGCATGGTGGTCACCATATCGCAACCAAGGAGATAATGTGGCCTTGCTACACTTACCCTACAACTATCCATCGGTGTACTCTGTGCTCTGATGGGTTTATTGTTGTATCCCACCTTCATTCGTTGTCTGGGGCCGTGGACTTCAGTTCGTGTACAAAGTGTAGTGTTTTGACGTTGGACAACCAAACTATTATACTTTCTATTCAAATATTTTGCTAAACTGTTAGGACTCAACACAGTAGTGTATGCTGGGCATTGGCACTTCTCCAAGATACCACCAGTACAGCATGTTGTACTAGACATATAGTGCAGTCAGACCTCGCTTAACCGCACACATCCGTTTTCCACAAAAATATCCGGATAGGCGAGGGAACCGGATAACCGAACACCGGTTATGTTGGATGCACCACGTATGATGCAAATCTGTAACCAGCTATGTTCTTCCGGATGGCGAGGGATCCGGATAAAAGAGGACCGGATAAGCGAGGTCTGACTGTAATCAATAGCACATGCACGCACGCATGCAGGCACACACGTTGCACTTACTGTCTCGCACTGTGTGGGGTTCAGCATGTGCTGCGGTACATACGTCAGACTAAGCAGGTTACCAGTCTTCATCTACACACAGGCATACAGGCACACAGGCATACAGGCACACATGCATAATAGCATATTACATCAGCTATTGTATCTTGTATACACGCACAGTGCGTATCTCCTACCGCTGGTCTTTGACTTTGAGCATTCTATTGCGATAAGCGACATAGTACAATGATCAATACTACGTGTACTGTATGCAAGCGGGGTATCAAAAGACTCGGGGCGACGTACGCAAACCATGTATACTTGATTAGGATAAACGTCCAGTGTACGAGCAAGTACATACGTGAACGGTACATTAACGTTGCAGTTCTTTTTTCTCTATAAAGCCTCTTCATATTTATAGTGTCTCCGGGCCGTGAGTCATAATGTAGTATAGTACTGCCTTAGTGAGTCATGATACAGTACATCACGAGATCTTACCTGATCTGTTGGTAGCATGCGTCTCATGTAGATCGGTCTTAGAGTCAAAATAGCCTCACCGACTTGCTACAACCATAGAAACACACATAGACCCACAGACACACAAAGGAAACACACATAGACACAAAATACGCATACACTCAAACATAAGCAAATACACACACACACACACACACACACACATGCACATACAGTATAAAAGGAGGGGGGGGGGGGGGGAGGGGGCTAACATAGGCATCAATACACAAAACTTTGCTAAAGAATGTCCATTTTGTTGAACATAGCACTTGGTAAGAAAGAGGTCTGCTGAACAATCCACATAATCCTTATGTCAGTCCTTATATGTACCATGACAGTCCTTGAGAGTAATGGTGGTGGTGGTGGTGACTTTACAGGTGGAACAGGAATGTCAAACGCATGGAACATCAAGGTATGCTCGCAGTAGAGAACTTTCCGAGCCAACGCTATGGCATCGTAGTATCAAGAGGACTCAGCTGTGGTGCAGCATGCCTACATGCATTATCAGTACTATCTTATCTTATCACATCAACACTAGGTAACTGCGCGATAGGAGTGCACAACCCCAAGAGTGCACAACCCCAGTCTATGGGGTCTGAGACCGCAAAACTGGATTTCATGTGACCAGCGTGTACACACTATCTGCACCTCATGCATGATATTGATCGGTACATGGTTGTATGCAGCCCAGTTTTTCGTACAACTTTCCCGTGGTTGTTTCGCACTGTTGGAATGTGAAACCTGTTGAACATTGTCATGTGATGTGTGAAACTGTGCCATTGCAGTACTGGAGAGAGAGAGAGAGAGAGAGAGAGAGAGAGAGAGAGAGAGAGAGAGAGAGAGAGAGAGAGAGAGAGAGAGAGAGAGAGAGAGAGAGAGAGAGAGAGAGAGAGAGAGAGAGAGAGAGAGAGAGAGAGAGAGAGAGAGAGAGAGAGAGAGAGAGAGAGAGAGGAGAGAGAAAGAGAGAGAGAGAGAGGGAGAGAGAGGTGGTGTGTGTGTGGGGGGGGGGGGTACATGCAGTTGCACACTTGGCATATAGACTCCTGCTACGCAAGCATCTAGAAACAAGCAACCAACCTTTCCAAATATCTGCAGATCTTCTACAATCTTTCGATGAGGATGCTCCAGCTCATGCACTAACTGAGCGATCCGGGGATAGGATGCTTCACTGTAAACATACATTAGACACATACACGTACCCAAACACACACCATTGGACCATTGGACGCCCATCGCCGGAGGCGATGATAGCGATGCTACAGCAGAAGCCATAGCAACTTGTGCTGGGATTGCACCATTCAACAGCTTGCAAGGCTGAACAATTGACCGCCACTATTCAGCCTGGTCTACACCACACAGCTATAAAGTGGCTCAAACACACACACACACACACACACACACACACACACACACACACACCCATACACACACACACACATCCAAGCACATAGACAGAGGAAGTGCACTAGGTATGGAGATAGGGCACTGACATTAGGTATCCCAGGCAGAGCCAGCATAATGGGAGGCAAGGATCAATTCAGATGAACTGTTGAAGAACGTCTGTGCACCATGTGCCATCCTGGATATTAGCCAAAGACTACCTGAAGAATCACCGGTGCGCTCTACAATGACAGTGGATGTTACATGACACAATGTAGTGACTAGTGGTAATACTTACGCGGTGCCATGCTGGTATTCATGACAGCAGTGGTAGAGGCCCAGGATAGTCTTGCGCTCTTCAATGCGCGGCACTATCAGTAAGATTTGACAGTACAGACACACAAGATCCAGGTAGCCTTTGCACAGGTCAAAGTTGAGAGCCTGAAATCCCATACACATGTACACACGCAAACACACGTACACATACACATACACACGCACACAAACACACACACATGCACATACATACACACACAAACACACACACACACAGAGCACACACGCACACACGTATGAGTTCAGAGTTTCAAAGGAAGCTCTTATGCACTCAGCTAGCTCAGCAATGGGGGATTTTCCAAATTCAGAATGGCACGCAAAGCAAATTTACAAACCATGCGAGACAGGTTGTCGACTTACGATGTCAAAGCGAATCTGACTGGTTGAAATTTGATTGAACAGATCCATAGCCTTGTCCTACATGAAGAGAAAGACACAGAATATCCAACACTGATGTGAAGAGAATTTGACATGTGGAATGAAGAGCAAGAGAGACTTGATACAGGGCAAACCCAGCAGGGGATGTTCAGGTTTGTTGTACCTCCAAGTTTCATGCCACGAGGCAGTCATGAGACAACTGATTACGAGACAACTTAAACTGGGGTTCTACCTAACCGTACGTATATAAACATGGCCACCCTGGCCTTGCTTGCCTTGTCGTTTTGTGTAAACAGGGTTACAGGCATTAACTAATCTAGCGCTAGGTACAGGTGGGCCTTAAATCTGGTAGCGCAAGATGGATCTCAGTGAACATCCTCCGCTGGGACTGCCATCTTCTAAGCTCTGTCTATGACATTGAGCACTCCCTACAGCTCGGCGATCAATGCATTAGTGAGGAAATGAGATATGCATGTCAGCGGCAAAGCAAGAAATGACAGCAGTGTGGTGCCTCCTAGGCTAATGCTAATCATCTACAATCACACCGGGCTGTATGCACAATTCTGCAAGGTTGCTGAGTCGAGGCATTACTGTTACAACTCTACCACTACTGGCACACTACAATGCACTGATCCAGGATCTTTACATCACACACTAGCCTAGTGATGGCTGTGGACATTCACACACTTACCTTGAACTCCATGAAGTCCTTGAACAAGTCGTACGGGATCTGTAGAAATTTGAGAATCTCCGATCGCTGTGAGTGCACGACATTGAGACCGGCATTGCCCTGGAATATACATGTACACGCACAGATAACATCAGCTATCATACAGACATGACAAAAGAAAATCACCAAAAGGCATCACTGGCCAACACTCATGAAGTTGCTCACACAGTCTCACTAAACACAGTCAAATAATTAGCCATTGTACCGTCGTTAGAATTGAGCAATTATACATCTTTGCCAGTATGACAGTATTGGTATAGAGCATGTACAATGAGCTGGCGTAATCGATGCAGTCATACACCTTCATAGTTTACTAATGAATCAACACGCATGTAGCATGGGAGGACTTGAGTCGAGTGCAAACACAATCATACACTAGTGCAGCTGTGCACTGAAACTGTCCCTACAGTGTGCTGCACTTGTTTGAGGCTCACCCTGATCTCCACCGTTGGGAACTTTCTGCTGATGTACTTGATGGCACTCTCAAACGTCTTCTCCTGCAGTACAACACCTAGTCGGTCTTGTGCATTCTGGAAAGATATTCAGTAACATAGTAAGAAGAAACACATGCAAAACGGAAGAGTTGCAGTTTTTGATGGTGTTTGAGATATAGTAGCCCCTGTCCATATTTCAGATAATTTCCCTTCACCACTCTTTCTAACTAGTGACTGTAAGACATAGAAACTCTTCATTCGTCATTCACTCCGGTTACTGCGGTCATTGTGGCGGCCCCTATTCCAGCAACGAACATGTTGCCATTTGATCTATACACTGACATTGTTACATGTGACTTGTGATTCGTATCGTCCAAAACGGCCACCACTGTTCATTTGGGACGGGGCTCAGAGCTCGAAGTTAATGATGTTTGTTTCAGGGAAGACAATAGTTTTCGCCGGCCCCTATTACTCGCAAGGGCAAAATCTATCCCGAAACACAGCCATTACTGAGCCTTCCATCCCAGTGTACACATTATTACATCAGTCCAAAGACACTAATTCTTGGCATAGCTAGCCCTGTCACCTTGTGTGGTATAGCAAGAGTACATACATGACTGTATGCTCCCAAGAGTACATACATGACTGTATGCTCCCAAGAGTGTGCAACTCTACATAGATACTAGTACCCTTTCTATGGGGTCTGCCGACGGCGAAAACTCACATCACGTGGCAGAATGTTCCCGTTGTAAGTTAGTTCCCAGCCTGTCACAGTTATAGCGACCATTAGAGTTGAAAAATAGCTATCACGACAAAAACCCAATCAGCTTATCCGAGTCATCAGTCAGATATTCGAACTGCGTGCACGCTAGCCTTCGTTAAATGTAGTACAAACCGTACTGGGAATACATGATGCGAGTTTTCACGGTCGGAGACACTGTATGCAGAGTTGCACACTCTTGCAGTCTTGGGAGCTTACATGCATCTTGATTATAGGGACTGCATTAGTCAGTATTGCTGGGTGCCGAAGAACTGGGGCCGGTGAGCCTCCTATCCTAGTCCGTTCCGGCAAATTTTCATGTACTACAGTCTATGCACAGTTGCTTCACCGTGTATACACTGGTATGCTGTGATTGGTGAAATCCTAGCCTGGTCGTTCTTCGGCACTCCGTTCTTCGGCGCCCGGCAGTACTGCACAGGGTGAACCGGTATTCTCCAGGTTTACACTCGCAATGAAATAGAAGGGGTCAGTTACAAAGCGTGGTACCCACTGGCGGCTATTGAACAGTTTCCTCTTAGGCAACTCGGAAGCATGGGTTTGCAATGCCCCTCAAAAGCGCAAAAGCGGATACATGTACATGTGTGCGGACAAATAAGTTTTCAGGGACAATTATAATCATTACATTGTATGTATGTATCGGTATTTCAATGCTAACGTGGCAATAAATCTCGACCTTGAACTTGTACTGACTGGCAACCCACTGTATACAGGTGACATAATAATTATTATGTACATGTATTTCGTGAGAGTACTAGCAATTATCTGCACGTTGATTCTGGACAAGTCCACCTAAACGGTAAACATGGTAAACCTCAGCAGGGGAGCAGCAGGTCCTGCTGCCAATCCAACAATCTATTTACAACATGAGGTATTAGATTCACATCGACATGGGCTATTCCCTAGCCGTGGACCAGCACCAACCACACACCTTTTTCAGGTTGTATAGCCGATGCAGAAGCTGCGAGCCACGGCTGTTGAGCAGCGATAGCTTTTCAGCAATCTTCTGCTCGGGAAGGCTGGGTAGCGACATGCTGCTTTAGAACCTCTACGAAAATCGCTTGCTCACAGCACCGTCCAGGAGCGCTACATTGGAAACCTCGCAAACGCAGTCCACAATCTCCCTTAGTTGGCTGTCTTCGCCTTATGCAGAGGCGAGTCTTCTGGGCTGCGACGGAACTCGGCACAACTTGAGCCAGAGCCTAGTAGAAGGACGTTGATCTACTCCACCGCTCGAAAACGGCTACAAAAATTCAATGAGCTAAAGCTGCTACACGTTCCCCACTCCCCAACTCAGTACAAGTCCCTGGCGAGTGTACGTGTTGTGGATGCAGCGTGCATCAGGCATCCCACTTCCCCAGTGCTACTGCCCCTGCCGGCCCGAGGCATACTGGACCATGCAGACTCCGAGTAGATCTACGACTCGAGTAGATCTACAGTCAGGAGATCATGGTAAATCAGACTAAATCTACTACGACTGTGCTCGCAGTGACAACTACGACGCCTAAAAATAACAACGCCGTCGAGATCTGAGCCTGGCTGAGCTGAGTGAGGGCTGATGATGTCGGACCTGTACTAGTACTAGTACTTCTGTCTACACCACGTCTAGACGTCTACAGACTCAGTCAGTGACAGCATGTCCGCAACGGTACGAAGCTGGCCTAGCGCCTAGCGCCTGCATTATTTTTGTTGCACGGCAACGAGTGCACCCACCAAACTGACTGTATACTACATGATACATGTAGTAGACCTACCTGGGAGTGGGAGCTGCGCAACACAACCGGCGGCTAACCATGCCAGGGAGCCGTAAAACTAAAACTAGGAAAACTGTAAACGAATTTTTAAAGACTCCCTGCTAAGTGCTATGCATGTCTGTCCCTGCGGGAGTTTGCGGAAAAAACTCTCGAAAACTTGCGCAAGAAATTGTGGCAGAAAGTAAACACAAAAAAATGCAACGAAAAGTGCGGAATGATGCAGAACTTGCCAGGAATTCGCGGAATTATTTGCAGAAAATTGCGGATTTGGGCCAAATCACGAAATTTCTTGCATCGTATATCTACTCAGGAGTCGTAGGTGCAAATAACCTACAGGATAGCACACGGCAAACACGTCACTCGACGCACCATGCCTTTCAGCTGAAGTGGACACCCCCTCGCACAGCCCCTGACTACCTCCTGCGATCCTTCCCCTTCTTCGCCATCACACCCTGGAACAACCTGCCTGCGGACCTCCTGCTTCACGAGCCTCATTCAAGACGCCTCCAAACCTTCAAGGTCAACGTATGTAAGGATCTAATCCGAAAGAGATGGCTGTGGTCCACACAGTACCTGTGACGATGATATTGAGATTTGAGTCCCATTTAGTATTTACCTCTCTACTACTACTTGCTTGTTATGATTATTGTCCTCTTTCTTCATTTTCCCTTCTGGTTTAGTCATTACACGTATTAATTTATATTATTTGGTGCAATACTAGCGCCCCTTTCTCGCACCAAATTATTATTTTTGCTACCTGACCATGCAACCCCCCCCCCCTTTTTTCGATGCCAGGTTGCAACGCTAACGCCGAGACCCCTGGTCGGTCGAGTTGCTCCCTGTACATCGGCACGTCGTCCCTACATCCCCTGTGTCTTGTCTTGTGTTTGTCTCCACATGTCTCTTTGTAGGGCTGTGTTCCCAATAAAATAAATAAAAAAAAAAAAAAAAAAAGGATCAGTCTGCTGTCCTCGCAAACGCGGAGGCTGCATTGATTTAACTTTCTTTGCAACTCCTGCAGTCTAGGTACTCTGTCCCCGGGGAAAATTGCGGAAAAAATCGCAAAAAACGCGGGGAAAAACGCGGCATAATATGGCATAATTTGCGGTGAATTTGCGGTAAATATGCGGTGAATAATATTGATGTGCGGCAATTTTCAGTGAGTATGTAGTGAAATCAATCAGTTTTACAAGTCTCTGGTGTAAGCACTCGTCATATTTGAGTAAAAAGCCGCCACGATGAGACGTTGCTGACCGAACAGTGCACTGTGTGTACGTGTAGTGCAACAAAAAGTTCAAAAAACGCGAGAAAATCGCGGAAAACGCGGTCTTTTAAAAAATCGCAAAAAACGCGGAAAAAACGCGGCCGCGGAATCGCAATTTTCCCCGGGGACAGGGTACTGAGTATCATTGTTATCTTGTGTGTGTGTGTGTATGCGTGAGTCAACAGCTTTGATAAAGTTATTGTGTTTACCCCTCTTGTTTTCTCATCATTGTGTTGCTTTTAATTTTTAATCTTGCCCGTAAAAGAGGCTGTCATATACACAAAAAAATAATAATAATAACCTACAGGATCATGGAAAGAACTGCGTGAAAAGTGCATAAAAATGTGAGATATAGTGCAGAAAACAACAAAAAACGCGGGAAATCGCGGGTTTGGGCCAAAATCGCAAAATTTGTTGCATCCGTGGAATCGCGATTTCCTGGAGGGACAGGCAAGTCCCCGGTCACTATGCCGTATGCGTAGACATCAATGCCAATGACATACATTTTCAATTATGTCATGTTGTTTTGTACATGACAAAATTGTAATGTGCATGCATAATTATTTCAACGTCCATGTACAGTACATGTACGGTATACCGGTAGTGAGATGTACAGTACTGCACATGGAGGTCTGTGTGCATGCATCGAGTTCACCCCCCCCCCCCCCCCTCTCTTCATTGTCAGACGCCTAACTCATATGCATGCATCCTTTTGTACCCCCCCCCCCCGACATGAATACTGTATGTTCAATGACATCATTATTCATTAGGGACTAGAATCCCAGTAGGGAAACCACCACCACACACAGAATGAAGTCGTTCAGGATCCCAGCTGCCAGCCACCATAACCATCCTTGCCACGGAGGCCAAAGGAAATCCTGAAATACAGGCGGCAAGGCATGGGCAAGCCTGAAGGATCTCATACCTGAAACAAAGGCAGTAACCCCATCCACAATAGCACCATAGAGTCACGCAAACCATAGAGTCAACTAACACTTGACTGCAGCGTGCAGTAGAAACTTGAGACAGCAAACAATGATTGTAGAGTTTACTTTGAAGCACATTAAATTTTAGATAATTATCCAATCCCCTCCCAGGGTGACAGGTGTTCTGTTCAAGCCCACAACCCAGCCAAAATAATAACGTTAACTCCCAGGACAGGGTGTAGCCGGAGATGACAGGCTTGATCGACCCTTGACTTGGCAATCGATACGCAGGACCATCAACTTGTGTGGCCTGTGGCATCGATATACGTGGCGGCCAAACCACTGCCAGCTGCCTACAAGTGGAAACAAGAGAGCAAAGTAGAACAAAGCGAGGCGCAAGGCAGGAACAAGAAATGGGCTCGAAGGGTAGACTAAACTCCAAGTCCAAAACGCAGCAAATGGGCTGACTTCCGGACAAGAGCTGACGGAATTGTCGTGGGAGAATTGACTACCAAGAACTCTCACACTGCTCAAATTGTAGGGATGTTACCCAAACTGGTGGATGTTTGCTGGATGGAAACATTTCATGTATAGTTGGTACTTCTACACACTCAAATTCAAGACATCTGACCCTCTACGTACGCCTGATTGCTCCATAAACTCATCAACAGTTCAAAGTAGAGTTTACCTTGCATAGGCCGTGATGGCATGTTCCAGTCTTCCACCCGCGACGCTTGACCTGAGCTGGGAAACAGAGAAACACACAGGATATGGCAAAGAGGATGAATCTATAATACAAAAGAATCACCAGCCTAACTATCCACCCACAGGGTCTGGCCATGCATGTCGATAGCAATGGAGAGCAAAGCGGGTCAGGGAGAAACATGCAGGGATACATGCAACTTACTACAACCCAGGGTGGGTGCAAAGCAAGGCATGCATTGTCACTCAACTCAACTCCCTGAATCTGCAGAGGATCCCAATAATGATGGGCAGGGTGGTCTGGGTATACATTAGATGCATGCACACTTACAGCACAGCATTGGACAGTGACATACATGATCTGTCTCAGCTACTGTACCTAGTCAAGGTTGGCTCAGCCGCCCGCCCCACTTTTTCGGCAGTTATTTTTTTTTGGAGCACATTGCAATAAGTCAGTCACACACCAAATGCCTGGAAATGCTTGCAATTGGCTTCAATTTTTGAAATTTTTCCGTGGGAGGTCCCCCCAACCCCCCCTTCCATAGCTGCCCCACCTCCAAAGTCGGTACGACGAGCCCGATACTAAATTGTAAGTGGAGTTCTTTGGCTACCGTACCGTTCCCGAAGCTGAGCCTGTATGTCACTGGCCACTACTGGTACCATGCATTCATAACAGAACAGTGCAAAGGTAAACCGGCTGATACTCATTAATACAGCAACTCAATGCAGGATGGGAGATAACGTGTGATCTTCGGAGCAGCTGTGATGAATTATGCATGAAAACACTGTGTGTAAATTATTGCACAAGAAATGATAGCCACTCGTGGAATTATGACTTGAAGTTTAGGGAGAAGATCCTTTGCACTGTTCTGTATGAAAACACCATGCACAGCATTAGGTACTTAGGATTGTTACTGATGAGGATAGCGTTCGGTGTTCGTCGCTGTCCACCATTACCACCGGCGTTGCCAGTCGGACGGATCTGGACAGAAGGGAAGCATAACAGAACACAATGGCTAGAAAGGAGAGCGACTAATACAGAAACAACCAGCAATATGTACAAGTATTATAAATAACAAAGAACTCATGCACATTATGCATCCACAAACAATTCCCTCGGGCAGCACTTTCTGCATGTGCTGGGTACAATGGAGTTGCAATACGGGGTCTGCTTTGGGGTCTTGGATTTCTGGTTTCCGTTTTTTTGCAGATTTTTGCGTTCTGCCATTTTATTGCAGTTCACATAGCAAGTGTGACTTGTACTCTCTGTATTGTGTGTAGTACTGCATGTACATGTAGTCATAGTGCGGGAGGATTGACTCGCTTTGGTGTAATGAGGATCAGGACCACCGGAACCAGTTTTCGATTGGTCCGGTAGTTTCGTGGTCTTTCATACAGTTTGTGTATGATATGGCGGGCACACACACACACACACACACACACACACACACACACACATGCCCTCCACAGTAGTAAACACCTCAGTGTTGGTGGTCAAAAAGTTGGTCCGGTGATAATCTGACCAACCGGACCGGTTCTGACGGGCCTGAGGATATTGAATCTTCCCTCAGCTTGCCCTTGCCATGCTTGTAAGTGGTCGATCAATCTGTTCAATTTTCCATGAAAATTTGCTCAAATTCCGTACGCGGAC